TGCGGGGCGACGCCATTCACAGGCAGGCTGCAGGCGACGCGGTTTCTTTCGGGGTCCCGCCCAAGTCCTGGGCTCGTGCTCAAAACCCCAGCCCATCCGGCAGCACCTTTTCGGGGATTGCATGCAGCATTTGTTCCAGAGTATCCTTGGTTTAGGACAATTTCGGGATTCGGGATTTTGGGAGTTCAGCAAGGGCAGAGCTTGAGTTCAGGTGTTCGCTGCGCGCCCGGCAAGAAACTCACATCCCGAGTTCCTGAACTTTCTACTTTTTGGGAAAACCGTTTTACTGGTAAACAAACAGTTCAGGTTCGGGCTGTTTGTTGGGCCATCCACTCAGGAAGCGAGGAAACGGATGTTCTTTGCTTGCCCCGCCTGAAAAGGGTGCTCTCAAGAATCAAACACCCAACGATGTTTGGGGACTTTTTTGTGAGGAAATGAGTTAGGACTCCTATTTCAGAGGCTCGGAGAATCAGCTTGGCAGGTCGTAGCCGCGCTGGATGATGTCTGGGTATGGGTGCCCGGATTCTGCCTGTTGAGGGAGCAGTCCAGATTGCCCCAAGGGGTCAGGCAGTACAACGTGAATCGGTTCTATTTGACTTTTTCCTTACTGAGCCTTGGGCCAAAGGGTTGGTTTACTTTTGGCTTCCCAAATACCAGCCAAGAGAGGTTCATTTTGCAAAGTGCAGCTGTGAACAGCAGATTTGTGCCGGCGGCGTGAGCGGTTGGGATTCAAGCTCGTGAGAGTCTGCGGGTGTCGAAGTCTTACTGTCAATGTGATGCCAACGTGAAGCAAACAGTCAGTCAGTCACCCCATGACCCCCCAATTGATCCTCGTTGAACGGGACTATGCCTCCCACGTTTCCGAAAGGGACTATGTGGAAAAACAAGTTTTGAGACGGAACCCCGACGTGGTAAGTTGACGGAAGTCTAAATGATCGCCACAGGTTCATCAATCAAGATTCATCCAGCACGTTCGGACAACACACGCGATCTGCCCTGGCGCTTTGGCGAACTTGTGCATTTGTTCAGAGCTTTAGGCCTAGGATGCAAAGCAATTGTCTCAGTCGATGTTCCATAGCCGCTTTGTCGGTTATTCTTCGAACTGCGCAATCTCCAGTTTTCGATATCTTTTTTTGCAAAAAGAGCTGGCGGATCTCTTTGTCTTTGGTATCTCTTTTGATTTAACGGGCCCAAGTAACGCTGGCGGCTTTGCTGGCAGGTACGGGGAAACCAAGCGGCGGCGCTCCAACAGCCGGGAGCGAGGCCTGCGGGAAGGAGGGAGAAACACGCTGTGGTCGCGTGTCCCCCCTGTTTTTTCCAGCCACTTTCAGCGGATATAAAGAGCAACCACCCAACACAGAGTAAAAATATGAAGACTATGGAGAAAAAACAACAACACAAAACACAGTGTTTTTGGCAGTCATGTTATGAAGCAAGAAAGAAAGGTAGTTCATGGGGGGGGCCTGATCACATATATATATATATATATACACACATCTATGTGGGCGTGTCCTCATTCGGAGGGCACTTTTCTGGGTGAGACATCACCCGTTTTGGAGGTCCTTTGCACCCTTTTTTGGCTTCCCGTGGCCGCTGTTCATCTCCTTTTGTCATCCTCTATTTTTTTGGCCCCTGAGTGTAAGTAGAGGCTCCCTACAAGTCCCTGACAGGTATGCTGCAATGGCTCTGAATCAGAGTTCGCCAGTGTTCAGCGTGTTTTCCGCCCAATCGTTGAGATGTAGAGCCACCTGATCTCATTTGCAGAGCCTGTGAGATCCGAACAGCACAGCTTCCATGGCAAGCGAAGATCTAAGACTTGCTATGCCATCTTTAAAAAAATCAACGAAACCCGCTCTGCCTTGAGATGATTCGGCCCCAAAGCAAGGAGCTACTTAGGACCTTGCCATGGTGCGCGGTGTTTCAAAGTGCTATGTCTGTGATGAGCAAGCAGACGATGACCATTGGCAGATGCCGCTGCATGCACTTCGATTGCACCAGGCATTTGTCGATCCAGAGAGGTTTGATCATCTTGTGAGGGAGTGTCGCCCAAGTGAGCGTGAAAGAAGTTTGAAGGCCCTTTGCTTGGAGAGAGCCAAGTTGGCATTGAGGCCGGCAACTTTGCATGTCACCGGCAGTGTGGGCAAAGAAACAGCTCTCCGCGGAGAGCATGACCTTGATGTAGCACTGGTAGTGCCTGGTGGGCCGACAGATGCTTTCCTGGAGAAGGCGGAAGTTGCGCTGGAGACATATGGCTTCTGCAATGTACATGTTCAGAGGAGGAAGGATATTAGACGCAGGTTGATCACTGCACAATATGAGGATTTGTCTCTTGACATTGTGCCAGTACAACACTTTGGTGACTCTGGGTGGGCCAGAGAGGCAGTCAACAGCGCCAAATTCTTTGGCCAGCTTTCCGCTTGGAGAAAGGATGTGGTGCGTGTCCTGAAAGCTCTTCTGAGGTTGAGGTTTCCTAACATGCCTGGCATCTTGCTCGAAGCCTGTGTGCTTAAGGTTGAAGCGACACGGCCCCATATCCTTCGCGGCACCTGGGCCGTCCTGCAAAGCCTGGCGCAGCTTGCTCCATGTCGTTGCCCATGCACTGGACGTGACCTCATGCAAGACGACCGTGTGCGGAACACTCATGGTACTCTGCAGGGCTACTGTCTTGATCTTCTTGCCCTGCGGCAGACACCGCGAGTGGACCTGGGAACCTTTTGCCAGACGAGCTTGCCGTGCCAACATCAGCTGACCGTCGCTGCTCGTCGCTCGTTCACTGGTCACATTTTGCTGAATCACAATGTGGCCAGTTTGATGCTGAGCTTGAACGTGCACTTCCAATCATTTGAGGACAGAGATCATGTGAGGGAGGCGAGTCAGCATGATGAGTCTTACATCAAAGAATTTTTTGCACAACGGTTCGCACTTGAACTTCAGGCCTTAGCGAGGGAACGAGAGCCCGACAGCTTTCCGCATCAGCGAGAAGGAGAACACGCCTTGGTTCAGCGACAAGGAGAAGACCCCTTGGTGCTGTTTGTGATGATAGTCCTGTTTTTGTGCTGGCTCTTTGTTGCAAATCGGTAGATGGAAGATTGCGGTTGTGTCTTTGCTGTCGGATGGGCTAAAGAAGCTCAGCGGAGAAGAGTATAGGCTATATAGGAAAAGTGAAGCGATGCGATGCTGCTTCCACTATTGTGGATGGACAAAGTCTTGCACCAAATGGTATGTGACTCATCCCTATTTGTACACACATGTGCATATATATATATATATATACACACACACACATACGGTGTCTTGCATCTCAACGCGTGCAGGATTTTCTCCATACACAGTATCACTGGCAAATCATGGCAAGGTATCATTGGCGAGCGGGTTCAAGGTCCCAAAGTACGCTTTGAGTTTTGTTCATCATATTGTTCGCAGTGTGCTTTTCGTATTTGAATGCTTCCTTGCTGTGCTTGGTTGACTAGTTATCGTGCTGATGCTCAGTAGGAAATGAACCGGAAGGGGATACCCTTAATGAAAACCTCCTTCCAGATGTTGGCCGCTCAGCATGATGGCTTATATGAGGCGTTCACCTGACGACAACACACAGAAGGTGTTCACATGGACGTCGGAGAGTGATCCTTCAAACTGGGTGGACAGTTTCCTTCGGTGTCCCTTGATTTTGTTGAGTTTTCCCTTGATCGCCTTCATTCCCTTGATCGTTTCCTTTGGTTTTTGCTGGACATGAGGTGCCCTAAGGCACCCTAAGTCCAAGCACGGGCTCCGGGATCCGGGGCCGGGAAGCGCCAGGGCGCAGCGCTCCGAGAGAGGAGAAGCGCCCCAAAGGCCAGGGGGCGATGTATCGAAATGGCTTGGCCGCAGAGCATGGTGTTTTTTTGCAAGTCGTCGTTGGAGCTTGTTCCGGCAAAGCAACTCAGCCAAAACTCAAAAGCGACTCATTGGACTCGAAAGCGACTCAAAGCGTTTTCAAGCGACTCGAAAGCCGAACACTTCTGGCTCTATGGAAGGTCCGGCATGGACGTCCGGACACGTGCATGGAACAGTGCGCATTCTTTTTTGTTTTGCTTTGTCCCGTTTGGGAGCTGAAGATGATGAACCATGAAGGGGCCTTGTGTTGGATACATTCCAAAGGTCTTGTGTGGCGAACATGATGACTCTTTCGAGGGTTGCCGAAAGGGCCCAACTTAACTCCCAGGGCAACAGGCCTCCTTTTCTGTCAATGTCTATGTGCTGCAATGGTACTTCATGGGACTGTGGTGTGAGACCCCTTTCGCAAAAGTGAGACCCCTTTCTCAAAAGGAGAATCGTCTTCCACAAGGGGTCTGTTCACCAAGTCCTGTTGTGGGTTGTGTCGCGCGGTCAACCGGTTTAGATGAGGCCGTTCCTCACTGGGGGTTCAGTCAGAAAGTGCGGCTGTTTTCCTTCAACGCTTTAACCTTCCACTTAGCGGGTGGCTCTTTGATGGTAACTACATGCCACAGGCAAGAAGAAGGAAAAGAAGAACCGCGAGGCAGAAGACCGGTGCGGCAGCTCAAGCGGGGAGGGATTCCTTTTTCTTTTTGACCAGCGAGTGGAGAGGTTCCGGTTTTCATATTTTGCTCATCCCCGATGCTTTAGGAATTTGTTGATCTGCAGGGAATGGATTCCTCTTTTTACTTGCAAGTAAGCTTCAGTTTGCACAGATACCAAGCTGGGATCTTTGCCGGGAGGTGGGCCTGCCATTCTCTTTGGATGGGGACGGAAGCCGCCCTTGAAGCAGCCCTCCGGCGTGTTTGTTTTTTGGTGAGGCAGAGAGACTCGCACAAATGCTGATCACATTGCAGACCCCAGGACGCGAGGCTCAACATTCAACAGCTCTTACGCAAGTTTTAGTCTTTCATTTACCAAGCCGCCATTTTGGTACATTCTTTTGAGCCACAGCTCGGTCAAAGCAGCCCCCCCCCCAATATTTTGGTTTGGCGGGCAAGGCCCATGTCTCCCGCTTCCGAAGTGAGGTCACGGAAGCGGGACAAGCGTTCCCGCAGTCGAGCGCGGGAGGAGGACATCTTTTCTCGGGGAGGTCCGGGCGTTGGTTTCCGCGCCTTTGCTGCCCAAGGTTGCACAAATGTCCGATTCGACCGACCCGAACCTGAACTCTGTTGCCCAAAGGGACCAGACACTCAAAATGGGCCAAAAAGGAAAACAAAGGTCAAAAGGTCGGCTTTGGATGAGTGGGAACCATGATGAACCCAATACGGAGTTTTGACCATGGCATTCTCTATGGGGTCTTGAAATAGGGGACCCCGCAAAATTGTGGCTTTCCTTTTAGTTTCCCTTGAAAACTTGCAAACAAAGGGAAACTAAAAGGACACAACAAAATAAACAAGACACACCCAACAAGACAAATAAGACACACCCATAAATCTAGACCCAATGCACCCCAAGCTGAGATGATGAGCGCATTTGGCGAGGGATGGTCCCATGCAGATGTCCGCCCCTTGTAATTCTTCACTCTGGATTTTGGGTAGACCATCAAACCAATTACCAGTTTTTGCTTGTGACGCGATTCAGCGAGTGATGCGATGCAGCGAGGGTCCCCTTGTGCCGCGAATGGGTCAGGAGGTGCCAGAGCTCACCAAGGTGGGATCTTGGGGAGGGGGGGAAAGGGAAAATGCATCTTGTCGCTCTTGGAGCGAATCTTTGTGCGAACCCAAGTTTGGACATGTTTCTTTTGCAGTGTTTTGAAGCCAGTTGCTGTGATAAGGGAATTTGCTTTGCAGTTAGTAGTCATGGGCACAGTCGGGCGGTTTTTTCCATCTTTTGGGCCGCGCAAAGCGGATCCTTTTGACAGATCCAAAGCGGATGCTGGGACCAGAACTCAACTCGGTTGACCGGGAGTTGTTACCGACAAAACGGAGGACAAACGCAGAGGTGAAATGTCAGACACGGGGGAGGTTGCCCCACTGAGACGCGCAGGCTCGAGAATGGACAATTCTAGGGCCAGCTGAAGTGCTTGTCTTCCATTTGCATTTTCACGTGCCGGCCCGGACACATCCCATCGCCGTGCATCAACTTTTCTCCAAAGGATCCGGATTCCATCTGAAGTGGGGAGTAGCCAGGACTCCTGGACCAGGAACTGGGACCATCTTAGGCTCCAAGTCTGTTCCGTGCTTGCACGCTGGTGGCAGGGGGGGTTCTTGGCCAGATCTTCCTTAAGGATGGGACGCCATGTGAAACTTGGGAGCTTCGGGTAAGGGATATTCCCGTATTCCCTTCTGGTCAAAGCAGAATTAGCCATACAGTTGCCAGGCGGAGACCGGTCCAGAGGCGGTGCTGGGTCGCAAGGACCGGCGGGGTCAGCAACGTCGACCCCTGATTTCTTGGATGAAGTGGGGTGCAACTCTTTCAAAAGCGAAGGGAATCAACCAGAGGCTTGTCAGCAATGGACATATTTTGTTCTGTAAAATGGAGTCAAATGTTGCACTCTGTTGGCATTCTTAAAAGGGGTGAGGCAATCCCCTTGTGGTGGGCATCCAAACCAGCCCTTCGGTCAAAAGGGCAGGGGGGCACCTGTTTGGGAGGTTTCCGACGCTTTCCTCACTTCTCAGAAGGCTGATGGAAGGATATCCTGCCATTCTTTGGACTGTGAACGAACATCCACTTCCAGTTGGGATGGATGGAAACCCCAAGTCTCAAACCCGGCACTGGGACGAATAAACGTATTTGTCCAGCTTTTGATCGTCGCTTACGTGATTGGCGAGACTGTAGCCTTCTGCTCAGGTTATGATTGTGGCTTTTACCTGAACATTTTTCAAGTGTTCCGTCCAAATTGGAGTCTTGTGGATGCCCTTTGTTTCCCTCAACGGTGTCAGGACACGTTTCGCGTTGGTCTGAATTTTGCGAAATCTTGCGTTTCTGTACCCCTGAAACGCAAGACGCAACCGGAAGGATGGGAACCCGCCAGGGTTTGCTGGGAAAGATTTTACATTTTGAATTTTGTGGTTTAGTGGTTGAAATCCAACCACTTAGCTGCCAACATTGATATTTTTGCTTCCCTTCCAACGTCAACCAAGCCGCTGGCAAAAGTGACCTGTTGGTTCCTGAGCTTTTTTTCTTCCAGCCGGGGGTGCCCAAAGCATTCTTGCGCACTCAATTTCCGCTTTTTCAGCGGAGCCTCTGATTAAAAAAACCCATGCCCTTTAGGAGAACCGCAGATTTTGACCATGGCTCGTACAAAACCAGTGGTCCCCAAATCGTGGCGCCCTAAGAAAGTGAGGCGTTTCCACTTGATTTCCATTCCAACCCCCCCCCCCCCCCCCAAAAGTCCGATCTCGGCCACCGTTTTCCGGACGCTTTGGGCGCGCAAAACCTTCGGGTCTCGTCGCATTCCGCGCGCGCGCGAGTCAAAGCGCCCCGTCCAGGACAGCCACAACGCCGCGGAGAAGACCCGCGCGGCGTGGCGCCAGGACGGGGGAGTGGGACTTCTTGGAGATGGCTTCGATGGGTATGTGGCTGTGGTTGTCAACACCAATAGGATACCATTCTGGGGTAGGTGAAAGCACCACCCATTTCTTGAATGGGTACCCTCCCTTCCACCATAGAACCTGTGGGAGGGTGCCTGGAAGACCATTTTGCTTTTCAATGGAGCCTCTGTCAGGTGCCATGTTAGTGGGAGTGAGGGTATGTGGCTGTGGTTGTGGATCCCATTTTGGTGAATTCACCACACCATTTTAGAACCTATTTTAGTGGGGATTGGGATGTTCACTGGTACGATGTGGGTTTTGACCCATGGCCATGTGTCAACAAATGGGGATCTGACCCCAGCAAATCGGCAGTTGTCCTTTTGGTTTAGCCAACCAAACAGGGGTGACTTCACAAAGCAGACTCAGTTTCACAATGGAACGCCGCCCCCTTGTGTCAACTGGGGCTTATTCATCCCGAAATTCCATGAATATTAACCTCATGTTAATCAACCCAGCTTATTCATAGGGGGTATCCTGGAGAACCATCACTTGTGGAGGGGAACACCTCCTGTTTACTAAACTGGGGTTGATTAATATGGGGTCAACATTAATTGGTGGTTTGGTTTTTCTGGGGGGTATCTTAGCTCAAAACTCAAAACCAAACGTCAAATTTTGGGAAAGCTGATGCAAGATTCACTGAAACTAGGCCCCCCGAATATGTGGGATTGGTCAAGCCTCATGCAGATGCTTAAGACTGCCCAATAAGGGGCGACGCTTATTTATTTTGACCGTTTCTGGGGGTTATCAAAGTCAGACAATGGGGCTGTTTCCTTTATCCTACCACTTGCGGGAACCTCCTGGCTCTTGTGGGTAAACTGGAATCCAGCCCTAACCTCCAAACAGCGGGCTACAAAGCACCCACTGGTCCGGTGATAATGCTTTGGTTTCCTTTGGTGCCCCTTCTGTTAGAATCTAAACTCTTCTAAAGGAGAGAAGTATATTAAATAAATATCAAAGTATATTGGGATAAAAGGTTGATTGTATAAATGCATAATGTGTGGGGGGTGGGTGCCGCTCTTTCAGGAGATGGAGAAAACGGCGCCTGCGGCCGAAGGCGAGAGCGATGCGCGGGACCTCGGCGGAAACGGCGGCGTCCGCCGATTTTCTTGCACCCGGCCATGTTATTTGCCGGTTTCCGGCTATCCGGTTCCTGTTTTTTTTCTTCTTTTTTTTTTCTTCTTATATTTTTCTTTGTTGTTGTTGTTGTTTATTTTAGTTGGTTTAGCTTGGTGGGGGGTTGCCGCCTGGAAATGCCGGCAAGTTGCTAGCCGTTTCCTGAAGCGGCGCATCCAAAAGCGCATCTTTGGGTGGGCTTTCAGCCGAGGTAGTTCGCCTTCTGAAGCCAGGGGCAGGTGACAACATATCTCCGCTATGAGCCTTGTTCCATCCTCAACAAACACTGGCCTCGCTGAATTGTTGCTGCCAAGCGCAGGACTTCTTTTTTGTGCTCAAAGGGCTTCGGTGCATGTATCATGCTCCATGGACAAAGGAGGTACCTGTTGACACTCCTCCCATGCGGTTTTGGTTACGACACCGCATGTTCTCCAAAAAACGGCTTCAAGCCCCCTCACTTCACGCCGTCCTGCAGTAGCCGCAGAGGGTGATGCACACCGGCTCGCCCCCCGCACAGCACATCAACGAATGGTAGTGACCCAGCCCCCCTGTAGAAGATGGGTGAAAGTCCGGGGTGCAGCACTTTGGGCACGGGAGCATCTCGTGGATCCGTGTGGCGTTCTGCAGCCCGTAGCAATCCATGAAGGTGTGATACCTTTCCTCATGGTCGGTCCTATACAAAATCGGCACCGTGGGCAAGTCTCCGTTTTGTGGCAAGACCGCCTCAGATTCCGGCTCCGGCTCCAAGCACTGCCTCGACCTCTGACTCGCCGTGACCACTCGCCCCTTTCCGTACCCCTTTCGCTTGAGCATCGGCTTGGGCGTGGCTCCCAATCGCCTGCTTCCCCCACCTCCGGTAGAAGACGCGCTTTGTGACGTAGCTCCACCTCCATCCAACGACGTACTCCTGGAAGTAGGTCCACCTCCGGTAGAAGACGCACTTCGCGATGCCCCCTCTCCGTTTCTGCCCACCGTCCGCCTGATCGTCGACGAGGTCTCCTCAAGCACGACCTCTTCCTCTTCCTCGGCACCGCCAGATCTCATAGCTCTGATCCGGGGCATGACTGCCCTCTGGCACACCAGCTCCACCAACTTATACAGGATGATGGACATGATGCTCACCACCGTCATCAGCACCTTCAGGGTGTCCGCTGGCTCTTCCTCTTCCTCAACCGCCTGGACCTTCGTAATCATGCTCGCGAGGGCCACCACCTTAATCATGGCCGCCGCATTCTCCAGATCTCCGTGCACGTTCGCCTCCTTCGTGGGTCGGCGGTGGTGCTTTGGAATGGAGCTCCACTGGCATGGAAGAGCTCGAGGCAAAGCAGCCCTACGTTGTCAACCGGGGAGGCGGAACTCATGGGGTGCTTGGAGGGCATCATCATGGGTGAGAGCGTGGAGGCTCTGATTTCGGAGATTGAGGAGGCGATGGGCTGCACGTACAAGAGGCAGCTACTATCCGACAGCTCCGCCATCGCAATCACTTCAGAGGCTGGCGAGAGCTGGAGAACCAGGCATTTGCGGGTCAGAGCGTTCAACTTGAGGTGGAGGCTCATGGACGAGAGCTGGTCAATCCACCATGTGATGGGGGAGACGATGCTCGCGGACCTCGGGACCAAGGCCCGCACTGGGAGACGCATTGATGATCTGCGTCGACTATGGAGGCTGGAGCTGTTGGAGGAAGCCATGGAGGAAATCAGCGCGGATCATGGCTTAGTCCACCTCCTGGAGCGAAAGACGCATCCGTGTAGACCTCCATCTTCCTCTCAGCAATTCCCGTAGCTCTCCCCTGTGTTGCTATCTCCAATGCCCACCTGGGCGCTGTCGTCACAGTCATGATGTCCTTTGCGATGGGGATCACCGATCCATAGCCGCCATCCTTGTATCGACTGAGGAGCTCCTTCGTGTAGGGCGACTGTCCCAAGTGATATCCACGTTCTGTCTGGCTTATATCCATGCCGCAGAACCTCACCTTCTCTCCTGTCTTGACGAACTCCGGGACACTCGTCTCCCACTTCCGCTGGATCACCTTGCAGAGCTCTCGCAAGATTCCCTCGGTCGAGCAGGCCAAGATGTCATCGACGTAGATCGCCATCAGGCCCATGAGCTCGCCGTGCTCCTCCTCCCTCCAGACGTTGGGGTCCGAGACAGTCTGGGCCAGCCAATAATGACCACCTCCCTTTTCCCATCTCATTTCCCGCATGTTCTGATCCCAAAAGACTGACCTCCTTGGCGACTGGCGAAGTCCGTTACGGGCCTTATCCACCGCCCAGTACTCATCCCTCTTGCACAGGCCGAGGGAGGTGAGGATGGACGGAGGTTTCATCAGCAAGATCTTCTTCGGCTCGCCTCTCCTGCAGCGGAGCGTTGAGGAACGCGGTCTTGATATCCAGGACCATCGCTTCCCAGTCCTGCGCGACTGCGTACTTCGTGATCGTCCTGATGGAAATCGTGTCCGATCCTCCAGCGTACAACGACTCGTCCGAGTCCTTGCCTCCACCTTCTGCGTAGTTCCCGCAGATGACGATCCTGCACTTCTTCTTGCCGTTGGGTGCCTTCACCGTAGGGACCATCTTGCCGGGCATGATGTCCACCTTGTAGTCTGGGTTCCGAGTCCACCTCGGCTTTGATCGCCGGCAGCCACTCCTCTCTATTCTTGATCACCTCCGCATGACTGGCGATCCGTGTCTGGAGAACTTGCTTCTCCTCCTCACCCATCCCTTCCTCCACCAGGGCTTCCTCCGCCAGCTTCATCTCTTTAACCTTGGCCGCCGTGATTCCCAAGACATCTCCGTCGTCCTGGTCCATGGCTTCCGTCTCCTCCTCGATGACCGTTCGAAGCATACAGAAGTCTCCGAGCTCCGTGTCCTTTTCCTCTCCGGCATTCGTCTTGCCTCTGATCCTCCTGCGCGGTCGATACGGTTCAGCCTCCTCCAGTAGTAGCCGATCTTCCGGTTCCACCACCCCCTTTACTATCCGGGAGACCACCTCAATCTTGCCATCCTCTCGCAGGATTCCACGGCCAAGTAGCGCGCCTTCTCATAGGTAGGTCCAAACGGATCCTGGCTTCTTTTCCATGACCTCCTTCGGACCCAGACCTCCTCCCCAAATGCGGCCGGCATCAGCTCGTTCCGCTGCCTTTTCTCCTCAGCCACCATCGCATACCGTGCCGCCATCGGCCAAAACTTCACATCCATCTTCGCCCCCTTCAGCAGCCTCCGTATCCGGCTCTTCAAGCTGCCAACGCAGGCTTCGGCACGACCACTTTCCTGCGGCAAGTCCGCACTCGTCGTGGTCTTCTCGATCTCCCTCACCAGGCACCATTTGTTCAGGTCGTGGTTCAGGAACTCCTTCCCCCGGTCAGTGTGCAATCGCTGAACCGGGTATCCTTCTCTCTTCAGCTGGATGTAGATGTCCTGCAGGCCCTGAAGCACCGTTTTCGCCTTCTTGTTGGGCAGGAATCGCCTTGACGATCAGCTTCAACGGCTTTGGCTCCCCACACTCCCTCTTGGCTCGGTCCTCTGGATCCTCCTCCGGGCCATCCCCCCCCATCCACTTTACCTTTTTCACACTCCAGGTCGCCCTTTTCACCGTCCAGCCTTATATGGGCCGCTGAGGTCTGCGTTCAGGACCGCCGCGTAGGGTTAGGCGATCTTGGCATGCCGCTTCCCCCGTGCCGATGCTTCCTGACAGACTCGGCAGTCCCGACGAAATAGCACATGTCCGTGGCGGACGTGCTCAAACCAGCTTAACTTCTTGACATGAGCCGGCCGTCCAAAGACCTCTTGTTGCAGGGACCGTGCTACCTCCCTCATGAATCCCGGGGCCCATCTTGACAAAGCTCTGCCACCGCCGCCGCCCCTCTTGTAGTAGCCAAGGATGATCCTCGTGGCGGCAAGCGCACCTCCAAGTCCGTGACGATGCGCGTCGGCTTCACCGCCAACCCGCCATAGTCGCCCTGCTTGAAGCTGTGTTCCAGCAACCCATGCTGGTCTCGGAAGGCCAGGTAGTTTTCGCTCCTTCACCATGATCCGCGCTCCGGCATGTGCTCCGGCGCTTCCGGCTGCTCTAGCAAAACGCGACCTTCGATCTGACCGACGTTGTCATCTTCCGGGCCCTTCGAGCCTCCTCCGCCGCGCAGTACAGCATCGCCATGCGGTAGAGGAACATCATCCTCGAACACCTGCTTCCTCTCCCCCTCGTCCAGCCACGGGAAGCCGAACCAGTTCTCCGGCTCCACTCTTCTCACCAGCCTAGGCCTCCCAGCTGTCAGCGGGTAGTGTCGCAGCACGCTCCGAGTCCTGCAGTTGGGACCGCCCACCCCCAGGATGTCTCCGTCCAGGGCTGCCCTCAACAGGGAAGGGTACAGCGGGCCGCTCAGCATGTCGTGGTTGTCTCCTCTCTTGAGGTCAATCTCCACCAGCCTCGTGACGTCGCCGCCAACCTCCTTCAAGGCCCTCTGCAGCGTGTAGCCATCCTTTTCGCCCGCGTACAAGCGAAGGATGAACCCCCGCTTCATTCTCTTCCTTCTCCTCCGGTTCAACGGGATGCCCTTCAGGTCGCTTGCGGGCTCGCTCACAACGCTGGCCATCACATTGGCTGGCACCGCGTGGAACACCCTCTCTCTTCTCGCAAGCGCCTCCATGACGCCCAGTTCTCCTCCCGAACTTGCCGAAGATGACCTCACTCTTGCACCTCCCGCAACTTCCAACGCCAAGTCCCGATCCACCTCCGGACACCCGGCGTTCATCCGCACCGGAATTTGCCCCAGGGGTGGGTGCTTCATTTGGCATGCCCCCCAAAAAGGCCAGGTGACCTCGCAGTTCAGCTTGTCCACCAAAAGCCCCAGAGGCACTATCGGCTGCACCCCGGCCTCCTCACGGATGATGACCTTCCCCTGGGTCATCAAGAGCTCTTTTCGCTGGCCTCCGGCCAACTCCACCACTATCGTCTCCAAGTCCTTCGCGTTGTCGCCTTCTCTCATGCCTCTCATGGCAGGGGCGCTCCTGAATCCAGCAGCCCCATCTTGTTCCGGAAGTCCATCTTCGAGATCTTGGCTTCCCCAAACTAACTTGGCGTCCCGGCCTGCTCTGCTTGGCGAGGTCACCGTCAGGAATCTGAGCATCTTCCCAGCTTCCTCCAGGACGTTCTGCAGGGCGTCGGCCTCTCCTTTTGACCCAGGCATTTCTGCCCTTCTCCTTTTTCACATACCGATGAAGTTCCTTCATCCGTCTCCACCTTCGCGATCTTTGGAGCACCCTGCTTGAAGTCCTTCTTCGCCGCCTGCTCTGAAGGGATCTTCCTCGGGCAGTCCTTCGCGAACTGGCTGGTAGCGCCACAAACGTAGCACCTTGACCGCCCATCACGGGCCTCATGGCCAAAGGAACATTGTGCTCCCCTTCTGCACCCCTGGTCGGTGAGGATAAACCGGGGCTTCTTTGCCTTGCTGAAGTCCTCCTTGCTCCCCTTGTCCTCCGCATAGGTGCCCTCGATCTTCTTCGCCTTCGCGTCTCCCGGAGCGGACTTCTTCTCGGTGCGAACCAGCTGCTCCAGCTCCGTCACAATACACCCCAATCGTGGTATAGGTCGGGACGGTATCCACCTGCAGCTGCGACTTTGCAAGGTTGATCTTGAAGTTCAGGTCCCGGTTCCCTTCCTACACCTTCTTCGTCAACCGCTGAAGGCCTCTGTTCAGCACCGAGGGATCAGGGAGTGCGCGACTTTTCCACCTCAACCACCGCCTGATGCCCGTGACCGCGGCCTGGATGTTGGTTGCTTCTCCCGGCTGCTCCAAGTTGCGCAGGATTCCTGCTCGTTCTGCTATGCCGCCCGGCTGATACATCATCATAAGCCGGCACACCAAGGAGAAGGCGTTGAGGCTTTTCGTAGCCACCACCTCGTCCTTCACCGCGTCTGGAACGGCCTTAATCAGGAGGGTGACCGCCTTCCGCTCCACTCGCCGCCATTTCGAGCTTTGCGACTCCCCCACCTTTGGCACCGTGGTGAGGCGCTTCAGTGAAGCCTCCTGCATGTAGTCGCCGCACCACCTCTTTGCCTCCTGCAGCACCAGCTCCCACAATTCCTGGCTCGTCTCCGACAGATCCGACAATCGCCGGAGTGATCACAGCGTCAACCAGTCCTGCAAGTCGATGGAGCTGGTTTCCGCGTTGAGCTCCGCCAGGCCACCTCCACCGGCTCCTCATCAGTGCCCTTAGAGCCACCCGTGAGGAGCTTCTTCTGGATCTGCTGCATGCCTTCCATGAGCTTCAGGATGATGGCCAAGTGGTCGCCCTTCTCTTCGTCCCGAATCATTTCGTCCGAGGACTCCTGCTTGTGGTCATCCCCGATCTTGCCGTTGGGCGGGTCCGGCGTCGTGTAGGTCCCCCCCCAACCATTTCCCGCCCTCCGTGAGCCGCTTAATCTCCGACCCCATGGAGTTCACCTCTCCCGCCCCGGGCCGACGTTCACCTGCCCCATCCAGGGGCAGGAATTCAGGTCGCCTCAGTGCAGGATCTCGCGTCTCCAGGTTCACCAAACCGCCAGGTCGATCCCAGCGCTTCAAGCACTCCAGCTGCTCCTGGGTGAAGAGAGGCCCATAGCTCTCCGGCTGGCCTGCTGGCCCTTGAAGATCTTGAGCATCTCCTTGTTGTGGGTCAGCCACTCCCGGCGTCGCCCACGGGTTCCTCGATGCGGTAGACCACAGCCTTCTCTGCGCCAGAGATGAGTTAGGTGTCCCTGGCGCTCTTCAGCCACCCGATCCGGCCCCGGCTGGTCGAGCTCTGGTCCCGGCTGATCCCTTTCCGCTACCTGGCAGCCTCACCACTAGCTCCTGGCCGATCATCTCCAAACCAGGCGCTGGCTGCGCATTCTCCCTCTCCGGGCAGGTGCCCTCTGCGTCCCCTCCCCCTGTTCCTGCTCTTCTTCATGAAGATCTCCGTCCTCCACCGCTAGAGGTTCTCCTTCTTCACCATCGCCTCCAGCTCCTTCTGCGCCTTGAGCTCCTGAGAGAGCATTGCGGCGCCTGGACCTCATGTCCTTCAGCTACTTGGGCTCACAACCTGCCAAGCGCAGGACTTCTTTTTTGTGCTCAAAAGGGGCTTCGGTGCATGTATCATGCCCCATGTACAAAGGAGGTGCCTGTTGACAGTTGCAATCGACATTACTATCATGGTTTGGCATGTTTACCATCCGCTGGATATTTTACTTGCCACGGTCACCGGTACTGGCAAGATAGAGGCTTAGAAAATCCATTTGGGGTTGTCTGAACGTGTGGGAACCTCCATTTCGGTTCCTTTAAACCAGCCCCAGAAAGGGTATCCTCTGAAAAAAGTATGTTGTACATGTAGATTGCCAGTCATATTCTCAGTGGCTTCTTGTTATTTGATTGGCGAACTCCCGGTTTCGCCATAGTCTTCCCCTTGGCAAGGTGACCGCTGGTTGGAGTTTCCTCCAACAGGGGTCGCTGGATTTCGCCTTCAAGGGTTGCGATTTACTGGCGGTTTCGGTCGAAACTGCCACTGTTCGAGGTTCCAAAAAAAAATGGACGAAGCCCTGACATACCGTGGGTTCTACGTTGACTTCATAGAAGAACCTGTCGCACGGGGAGGTTCTACCGGGATTCTCACAAAGGGCAGCAACCCCCCCCCCCGCCCTATCAAGCGACCATGCTGAATCAGCTGGGTTCTCATTGGAATGCTCTCTAACTCGAGACTCGTTCGATCCTTGACGTGTGTCCAGAAAACCTTTGGGCGTCCTGTTTGCTATTCCGTTCTGGGGATCACACGCGGGCAAGGATGGTTTTATCTCAGCTTCCCTCTTCATTATTTGGTGGTTTGGGGGTGTTTCGGGGGTAGGTTGGTTACCCCAAGGAGAGCTTCAGAAAGCGTGTGTGCCCCGAGGTTCATCTCTTTTCGGGGCTCGGGGAAGGGGGTGCAGCCCTGAGGGGGAGGTGCACGGTGTGGAGGACGAGGAAGACGTGGCCGCGGCCTCGGATTCGTCGCGAAGCAAATGGCTGGTCAAAACCAATGGTACCATTTCAGAGGTTTTGCCTTTGGTATCCTTTTTCAACCAACCCCAAAAAGGGCACGCTCAAAAAGCACGGTGCATTTTGCCAAGGGATGTTAGGGCTTTAACTTCTTTTCTTTGCCAACTAATGGGTTTTCCGTATGAAACCACTAAAAGTTAGTCACTTTTAGCAGGGGAGCGGAAAGCAACCGAGATGTTGGGGTAGGTGAATTCACCACCCATTTTCGAACCTATTTCAGTGGGGATTGGGATGTTCACTGGGGGTAGGGGGTTTTGACCCATGGCCAAATGACCCTGTCAGGAAACATGAGTTAGGAAGCGGAATTTGGGCGAGTCAAGAAACAACCAGAGGCAAGTTAGCTACTGGGCCAACGGCTACAGAACAGGTTATTGGCTGTTGCATCAGGTCCTTTACTTGGGGATCCAGTTGGGCGTGTGCTTTGTTGATGGTACCCCTTTTGGAGTGGTTTTGCAGGGAAACCAATAGGGAGACACACCCGTTTCAGGATCGAACCTGCAGGCACATATCATTTGCCCGTTTTTCAAAGGAAGGCCTTTTTCAGCCCAGATCCAATCCCCAGGATCCAACCGAGGCCCTGCTTGTAAGACGGTATATCTCAGCAACTTCTAGACATCATCTCACCAGCAGGCTCTTTTTTTTGCTGGTGCTGCTGGGCTGCAACGCTGCCTTTGGCATCTCATTCTCCACCGTACTCGATTCCATATTTACTTTTTCCACCTCTTCCAGTTTTTGATTGAACCCACCTGGGTCCAGCCTTTTCTTTCCGAGCCGCCCTAGAAAACCGGGTCGGTTGACGCGGCCCCGCCGAAAAAAAACGGCGCAGCTGCCATGGGGTTGGCTGGTCGAGTGGGGCCTCAGGACCGGAAGGTACAGGAGAGCCGGGCCCGCAGGGAGGCGGGCTCGAGCGCCGTTCGGAGCTCCCGTCCCGAAAGACCCAAACCCCCCTTTTCCGGGATGGATAGAAGCAGGCACCCTGGACAGGAGAAACTTGCTTTCTGCGCTTCCAACGTGGACCTCTTGGAGCTTTCACTGTGAGGGGCAGATGTCCATGTTGAAGACCCCAGTGTCACGTATCACCACTTTGCCTGCCAGTTGATGCCTGCCAGTTGATGAGAAACGATCCGTAGGTGTTCACCTGAGGAAGCCACCTTCCAAAGGTCTGACCTCAGACTGTCTTGAAGACTAAGACTTTAACTTGAGCTGCTGTCGCCTTAAACCAGCAGGTTTGTTTGCAGCGGCCTTAGGACCCCTTCCTCAAAATGCAGTAGAGGTGACCCTGGGCGGCGGTTTTCTCCCCGCACGGTTTCCACAAAGCACCCCTTTTAGAGGCCAAGGACAGACATCTCGGAGTGACGGCAAAGGGGAGCCACTCCTTGAGGGAACAACGTTGGATACGCCCAACGTCTCTGGAACCAGGACCATCTGTGGGAAAAAATCGGCCCTGGGAGCTTTTTTTTGAGGCGCTCATGGCCAAGTGGGTGAACCGTGGCGAGCGCAACGGGCCGGGGGCTCGGACAAGTAGATAGCCTTTTAGTCAATTTGGTGGATCATTGTTTTTCTCCTATGCGATTTGGTAAACAAACCCAGTAGTCACTCAGTAAGTAGTCTACTGTGAATAGATTCAAAACCAGGGTGACTCCCGCGATTTGAAGTAAACCAGGAAGCACCATGCCCCATGTCCACTATGGGCTGTTCTGATTTTGTGGCACCCAGACACCTTGGAAGACCTGCCGAGCAGTTTTTTTCTTTTTTTCCTGTGGATGCACTTCATTGAGCCTGAGCCGATTGGCTCGATGCAGATTGGGCTTCCACATGCCGGAGCACCGGAGCAGCGCGTTTTTGGAGTGTTTCAGTAGTGTTTGCTTGGTTCAGGCAGCTCGCACCCAGACACTCAAAGCTGTTCCGCTTTGTGTTCGAAACCGGACGGTTTGAGCACACAAAGCGACGCCTTGTTCTTTTCCAGCAACGTTCTTTTCACAGACCGTTTGGTCCGCTGTTCAGTGGATTTACTTTTTATTCTTTGCAAGCATCCTTCTTTTCACAGACCCTCTGCACCTTGTTGGGCTCAGTGTTCTATGGGATCGTTCTTTTCACAGATCATTTGCACCTTGTTGGGCCCAGTGTCCTCTGGATTTCTTTCCAATTCTTTTCAGACCATGTTGGCGGCTTCTACAAGGAAGGCTTTCTGGCTTTCTGGCAAGTTCATTGCCCGGGCAACCCCAGTTTCTGGCCCAAAACGGCGACCCCAAAGCAGGCGTTCTGGATGCTTTTTTCTGCTTCTCTCTGACGCGCTTGCCGCCTTCCCGGCGTCAGCTGTTGGCCCAACCCCGCGACGCGACCCGAAGCGACCAGATCGCCCGGCGCGACTCGGCTCTTCGAACCATGGGATGCCACGGCAGCAAGGGAAAGGCGGCCGAGCGCCTCTGCAGAGCTGGAGGGTTGGTCACGGAGGGCCATTTTTTTGAAATAAGATATATTATAACTATATATGTATATATATATATATATGTATATGATATATATATATATATATTGTTTTGTTTGATTTGGTGGGTGGCTTCTAATCTCGACTAGTTGGGTATTCTGAGAAGCCTTTTCTGCAGTTTTTCCACAGCTTTGTTCAGCAGAACCTACCTTGCTGGTTCCGAGGGGATAGGGTGAGAGCCCAGGCGTCTCTGTGGAGAATACCTCCTTTGCGATGTCAGGGGTTGACATCATACCCCAAAGACGTAATTTGGAGTGGAGGGTAAGGGAAAGGTTGAGAGCTGTGGCTGGCTGGGGGATTTGGTGCTGAGGTCAGGGCGAAGTGTTTCTTTTTCAAGGTGGTATTTTTGTGCGAGGTTTTGAGGAAGACGTTTTCGGGCAAGATTTTGATGGTGGCCTGATACCTCACTTTGCACGATTGGTTCTCAACCGGAGTGGCCCGTTCTCATTAAACAGAGATGTGAAGCCCTTCAAGGTGTTCCCTTGAGGGGGCATTCCGTCTCTCCTTTTTTGGTGTTGGAAAGAAACATTATGGGTTTCAGTTCATATGAGTTTCTCTTTGGTGGTCATGTTATTAAAGATAGACAGACCGAGAACCCTTGGTTGGAAAGGGGACAGGAGACCCCACTTATGTTGGTGCATGCTGGCGCAATTTCACAAGAAGCAGCTGGCAAATGTGCCGCCATGAGTGGCCTTTCCCGCCCAATCGGCCTTTCCGGCGGTTGAGGAGAATGCCACCTTGCAAATGCGGGACATGACTCGACAAGACGAGTAGGTTCAACAGGCCCTTAACCGCTATGTGGGGGGAACCCAAACAGCGCTTGCTCCAAGGAAGTTGTCCCAAACAAATATTGCAGGATCAGAACTAATCTACTATTCTTTGCAGCTTCGTTCAATGAATTGATCCCACCGATCGAGCCCTATGGCCAAACATCGCGCATCGACCGCAGGCTGTGCAAGTATGTGAGGCGCAAGTGCGAAGTGCCACAGCTTGCCTTGCCTCCAAGAAGGGCCTGAAAAAGGCGTCAATACACCAGCGCGCTAGGTGAAGGGGCAGCATCCTTCTGTACTAGGGAATCGCTCCTTCTGTGGAGCGAACGCGCTACAACACATAAAGGGTTTAGACCAGAAGGGTAATGCGGATTGTAAAAAGAAATGCAGCTCTTGTATCAGAAAGGGCGAGAAGATCGAAGCGAGGGGCTTGAACTTCAGGAAGCCCGGCACGCTGCTGGAGAATCATTTGGTCGGTGTCAAGGGCACTGAGGCGAAGGGAGGAAGGGAGGAAGGGCGGAAGGGAGGAAGGGAGGGTGGCGTTTCGGTTGGACATTCGTTGGGCGGCTAGGACCACTTTGGAATCCGTTGAAAGTGACTTAAAGTATCCGTAAGCCCATTTTGGTATCGCCGAAGCGATATCTTCGTTTGAAGCCAAGGGTTGGCGAATCTCAAATTCAGAGGGAAGTTGTTGGCCTTGTTTGCGTGAGAGTTTCGAAACCTTTATGTATATATCCTGAATGCACCCCCTTTGGCCCGGTGGCCGAGGGGGGGGGGCAAAATTTTACTGCAAGGTGTGGTTCAAATTGGAAGCCTTTTGAACAAGCCAAAAAGGATACCTTCAAAAACTGCGAGCCCAACTCACATTTTGTTGTGAAGCTCGGCTTGCCTTTTTTTGCTTCATGGCTTGAATCCTCAATATTTTAGGAGGGAAAAGTCCACAAAGTGGGCTGGACCTATATTTGTCTTGGGATTCTTGTGTGATCCAAAGTCTATGTCTCTGTTTCTTAGTTTTTGTTTTGGTGGGGTGGGGTGGGGTAAGGTGGGGGGGGGGCCACACCCATGTACACAAGCCGAGCGCCTGGATCCATCCGCGCCAGGTCCAGGCACCTGCCTCGCCCGTTTCCGCGCCGGCCGTCGTCGAGGCTGGACTGCGGGGCTTCTGGTGGACTCCTTAGTGGGTCCCAACTAGTGAATCGTTCCATGGCTGTGGCTCAAAAAACCGGTAACAAAATGGAACCCTGGTAAGTGGAAACATGGACCAAGACCTTGCGTAACCCCTCCTGTTTAGCCACACCCACATGGTTTTGGGCAGGCCGTGTTTAGTACTGACTCACCTGTTCACGATGCTTCTATGTACCCTTTGATCTTATGTGGGATCTTCGAACCTCGCCTTGTCCAAGATTGACTTTGGTTGGATGTACGGGGAGCATCGGGAGGTTTCGTTAGGACATGTTGGTGTCACCCTCGTTTTGCCCGTCTCCTTCTCTTGGATGGCCGAAGGAAGTCCAGCAACTGGAGGGGTCCCCGAATCGCTCAGCCTGGGCTGAAGCAAGCCTGGAAGATGGAGCGTGGGGTTCCCCCGATGTTCAGTTTAGCACTTTGTTCAGATTGGTTCAGGTTCCCTGAAAAAGAAACACCCGCCCATGGCCCCTTCCAAAGCTGAGAAAGGTGAGGCGGGTCAAGGAAAAAGATCGTTGGGCTGAAAGAACCGAACTCTGGTTGGTTGCATTTGTTGGAAAACCTTTTGGGCAAACTTGTCCATGGCAAGTGAGAAAAACCCACCGCAAGAGATGTGGCTGTGGGTCAAAACCAATGGTACCATTTTGGGGTAGGTGCCAGCCATTAGTCTATTTTAGTGGGGATTGGGATGTTTATAGGTTGTACGGGTTTTTGACCCATGGCCATGTGTGTGTTCTTCCCCGCTGACCTGCATTTTCCAGGCCCTGGCGCCTGCACAGGCCTCCTCACCTGCTCCGGAAGTGAAGGCGGCTGGGCGGGGTGCTGGGCGGCGCGTCCTTTTTTGTGTGAGAGGGTTGTAGGAAGGTGGGTTGGTTCCTGGTTCGCTCGGTGATAAAAATGATGAGCGGTTAGTCGGTTAGTGGGACGAAATCACTAACTGGGACGCACTAACCGACCCGATCCCTGAGAAATACAAACGAAAACGGCTCGGCGGTTAGTTGGTAATGTTGACACAGATGAGTCAACCTTATGGATTCCTTGGGGGATGTTGCCCAAGCAAAACATGGATCGGGGGGTATTCATTTGGGGGCAAAGGTATCAGCATATCAGGGAACCTCGCCTTTCTGCTGCGGAACTTGCCATTCGGAAGACCGTTTTCGTAGAGGTGTGGCAGTGGGCATTTCCCACATTTTCCCACAGCCCAAGCAGGAATGAAGACTTGATTCCTGTTGGCTTGAATCTTTACGCAAAATTCATCCAAACACAGCACATGCACACACTGCCTATTTTTGAGTCACATGTGGAGAAGTGCAGGTAGTCATTAAATGAGGAAACCTCAGCTCCTAGCGAGTCGTGCAAAAGGAAATGGACAACGGAAAATGGAAAAAGCTGTCCTCAGCGCGGTCCGAAACTGCCTGAAATGGCGAAGTCTGGAAATCAAGCTTCACTCGAGCTGGCGTCCCAGTTCCCTTCCCATCTGCAACCGTAGCTTCGTTGCGCACGGTAGGTTGCAGATGCCGTGCGCCCCTGCTAATGGGTAACGTGCAGCTGGCAAGAGACTAGTAGACCGAGGCCTTTTCAGGACAGGCACCCCTCCGGCCCTCTTCCCGCGAACAGCTCCAAGGATGGCGCTGGCTGACTCAAGTATTCTCATGCGTGTTTCTAGCATGTTCCACACACACGCGTGCCCCCCAGTTGGGGGGCGACAGCTTGGCATTACGTCTGGACGAACAAGGAAGTGAAGCTCAGAGGTGACGGAGGGCCTTAGACGGATCTTCTGCCAAGATCGACCTCCTTTGTTTGTGTGCACTGATGAGAAACAACAGTCCCTGAAATGGGTTCAGTCGAACTGCACGCAAGCGGCGGTGATTTTTGCTTGCCTGCAGTCAAGCTGTAGTGAAACGGAAGCGCCTGATGCTCCGCGGAAGCCGACCCCTCCGAATCGCTTCTTTGAGGATCTGGTTTGCAATCTGTACATCGCTCAAAGTTCTGGAGTGGACCGCGGCTAGGTCAAGTTGCGGAAGCACCTGCCACGGCCTGACACTGACGATCCGGCACCGGGCAGAGCCGGAGCGTTGCAGTGAACAGTCTGTCTTGTCGGACCGGAGAGGCGTCGAGGCTGCTGAAACGTGATGGCACGATGAACGACAGGTTGAAGCCTAAGACAGCTTCTTCTGACTCTTCCTCCAGCATGGGCACACTGTAGAAATTGGGCCTGAAGGTTTGGACGTCAAAGCTGTCAAGATCAGATGTCAACGTACCGCCGGTGAAGGAGAGCAGGAAAATGAAGGTGGGAGATGGGCCGAAAGAACACATGCTCACGAAACAGGGCAACAATGGCAGAAAGAACAGGCGCAAGCTGGGACCCCATGGAGACGTGGAACAGGAGGAGGGCGTGGAAGCGTACTTGCAGGTGTCCTTTGCCAGGGCGGAGCAACCTTTGCTGAAAGGCCCACAACCTCTGAGCTTGGTATGGCAGCCCAGGCGGGAAGGTCCCCTTGTCCGAGATCCATGGTTTTCTTGTTGCTGTTACAAAGGTTCGGTAAGAGTGGTGAAACTGCAAAATGGATTGCTCTCAAGATGCAGCTCAAGTACAGGAACTTCCCTTTCGCCAAGCCACAAGCCAGCACGAGTGCAGTCAACCGAGCGCATGTCCTACGACTTAATACCTGGGAAGCAGTCGAAACTGCAAAAGACAACGTTGCGCGCGCCAACACAGGAACTCACGCTGGGCAAGCAACTCGCCGAACCAACTCAGCCAAGTAACCCAGCTTGTATCAACAGCGTGGCCTTACCTTCGAAGGCGAAGGTGGTTTCGGCTTCTGCTCCGTGAGCATTCTGCCTGACTCCCAACCGTCATTTCCACAGAGGCGCTGAGAACGTCGCGGCGGCTCAAGGGTTCAAAGCGTCAACCGCTTCAACGTGTTCCCATGACAAGGGCTCAACACTCCAAGACGTCCCAGCTTCCACGACCCAACTCCACGACATCTTGGCATCAATGTTTCCACCGTTTCAAGTGTGCGAAGCTGCAACGTTTTCATTCACGGCTCAATGTCTTCAACGGTTCAAATCTCCACGTGACAGATCTCCAACGTTTCAACTGTCAAGGACACAAAATTCCAACGGTGTCTCAACAGTCCATGGGTCTGAAAGTTTGCACGCGCCAAGAATGCAACCTCCGAAGCCTCAACGTTACGCACGCACGGCAACGTTTTCACGGATGAATGTTTCAACGTTTCAATCCAGCAACGTTTCCACTGTCAAGGACAGGTTTCACGGCTCGACGCTTCAACATTTGAACTTGCCAACATTTCAATGGCAAAACGTCGCAACAAGTCGCAGCTCGCAGGGGGGCAAAGCTTGACAGGAGCAGGGTCCAAGCTTCTCAAGTTTTCAATGTTTAGCAACTGAACCTCACAATGTTTCACGTTCGCAAAGGAGCAAGCGCTGGTTCTGCAACATGGCCGTGTGTCTGCAACCGAGCAAGCATTTGCATAGCACGACCAACTGACGTTCGGACTTTCCTGGGCGCGCTAGTGTAAACACTTTGGACACCAACGCTGCACCGTTCCGGAGCTCCAACGTCACATGGTTGAAAAGTCGAGGCCCTAACCTTCCAACGCTTCATAGAGTTCAAAGTTGCACCATGTCACCGTTTCCAAGCCCAACGTTTCAATGTTGCAAGGCGAGGATGCTGCACAATGTCAAGGAGCGGGCTTCCCAATGGTGCAAGGTTCCAGCAACTCCACGCAAGATTTTCACCGGCTTCCAACATTTCAACGTTCCAAGGTGGCACGGCTGAATATCAAAGCAAGCCATTACAAGGCATTAACGTTTCAACAAGTCAAAGATCACAGCTTCCCAAAGTTGGAGCCATTCACTATGGCAACGTCGCATGGGTGCCAAAGCAGTGGCATGCCTCAACGGTTTACGACACAGTCGTTGCAACAGTCAAGCAACCAGTGAAAAAGTCTCCAAGTATCAAGCGCTTCAACGTCTCCAAGTCACGCAGCCACGTTTCAAGCATTCATAGTGTCAAGCAATCAAGACTCAACAACATGGCAAGATGTCAGTTCCTTAGTGACTCCAGGCTGAGGTCCGTGACGAGTTGGATTCTTTGACCAAAAAGACGCTGGCTTTCTTGCCCGTTGCTATTCATTGTCTCCGCCCCAGTTGGGCGGAGCTGATCACCGTCAGAGAGACTCTTGGTGCCAAGTGGCGAGATGTGGGCTGATCAGCGGTGCTGTACCCTTCCGGACAGACACCCACTCCCACAGATGTGGGTTAACACACTGCTTATTTCTGAGTCACATCTGGAGAGTCGTGCAAAAGGAAATGGAAAATGGAAAATGGAAAATAGAAAAAGCTGTCCTCAGCGCGGTCCGAAACTGCCTGACATGGCAAAGTCTCCAAGCTTCACTCTAGTGACTTTAAAAGGGCCACGACAACCAACAGCGAATTACGGGGGGGGGACCAAAAAGACTTTGCACCACGAGCAGGTACCGGATCTGCCGTCCCAGTTCCCTTCCCATCTGCAACCGTAGCTTCGTTGCGCACGGTAGGTTGCAGATGCCGTGCACCCCTGCAAATGGGTAACGTAAAGACAAGTAGACCGAGGCCTTTTCAGGACAGGCACCCCTCCGGCCCTCTTCCCGCGAAAAGCTCCAACGATGGCGCTCGCTGACTCAAGTATTTTCACGCTTGTTTCTAGCATGTTGCACACACACACACACACTGTCGACCCCATATTAATCAACCCAATTCATTAATAGGGAGGGGTCCCCGCCAAAAGTGGCTTTGGCCAGTTGTCACCCAGGGAGAAAAACAGCCTATGAAAAAAAAAACCCAAAGTGGTCTGATTCCCCACATGTCACCCAGGGACACCCCTCTTATGAATAATATGGCCATGGCTCCAGTTTGGAGTCGATGAACATCCATTTGACACCTATTTTGATGTTCACCAGGGGTACAGGGTTTTGACCCACAGCAATATGTCAAACAGGGGTTGATGAAAATTGGGGTCAACATCTCACCCCGCAGGCCCCGGAGCCAGCGCCGGCGCCGGTGCAGGACACGCCGGCGGCGGAGGCAGCAGCTTCTGTGGCGGCATCGGCCCCGGTGCTGCCGAAGCCGGTGATGGAGGCGAGGGCCGGAGGGAGGGAGGGCTGGGCCCTTGTCATTTTGATTTTTTCAAGAAAGGGAACACTCCATGCTGGCTTCCCCCTTCCATTCCGATTTGTCCCACCATTTAAAACTATTTTGGCCCCTCTTACAATCAAAGCCGGAGGGTGGTAAGGAACAATCCCAGCCAGAAATGGGTGCGGTCGGGTAGACCATTTGAAAACTGCCCTTGAAACCGAATCTTTCCAACCATTTAAAACTAAGGGTCGCACTTGCATACCTGAACAGGACATACCCCCACCTGGCCTAACGTGTGTATCTATACATGTATACATGTAGATGTGTCTATGCGTGCCACGGTCAGAAGAATTTGTTCCTTCTTGTCAGGTATGGTCATCCAACTAGTAAGGCTCCTTTAGGTTCAGTTCGGATTGAAAAACATGTTTTCCAGTATGCCATAGTAATGATTCCTTGACCTATTTCCAGTATGCATACCATAGTAATGGCTCCTTAACCAGCATCCAACCCAATGATTCCGGTTAAGGGAAGCACCCATGGCCATGGAACCGGAGCTTCGGAGTCGTTCCGTAGGCCGGCGAGCCGCAGATCCGCGTGGCGCCGGTGGCGCAGGATCCAAAGCCGCGTTTTTTTTTTGGGGGGTTGGGGGGGGGGGGAGAAGTGGAGCCTTATCACTTCCGAAGGCACCTTTTTTTGTTCTACCTTTTTTTTTGTGTTAAAGAAATGTTTTTCTTTTTCCTTTTTTTTTTTTTTTAAGAAAGAGGAGCCCCCCCCAGTTAGATGGGTGTCTTTTCTCCAGGAATCAATCCTTCTTGGGTTCCCTGAACCACGAAAGGGATACGCCTCCCCAGAAAAAGAAAAAGGAAGAAGGACTCATCCGTATGTCTGAGCTCCCGAGGTTGCAGAAATTCAAGCTGGACAAATGGCGAAGTCAAGTCTTCTACTGTGCGAATTAACGACCCATAGCAACGCCTGGTACTGTGCGTTGCTTTTGGTCTCTCAGTCCATTGCGTCCCTTAAATCCGGGGCCGAAGACTTGAAGGCCTTTCTGGTTTCTTGAGATGATCGGGACGTGAGTGACGGGAGTGTGTGATCCTCCCCATCAGTTTTTGTGGGTTTCCCTATTTTGGAGACAAAGCCACTTGGGACGTTGGGGAAATACATATGTATATGATATCTTCTGAAGTCCGAAGGACTTCCAAAAGATCCATAAAGTGCTCTTCTTCTTGGCGAAGCTATGTGTATTCGTGGCAACAAGTGAGGGGGCGAAGCCAGGAACAACATGAAACAATGATTTTCATATAAGTGAGATCCCACGGGTTGGTTTCCGCGCTTCTCGCCATGTTGATAAGCTGGGGTTCTCACTGATAAAGGCACGTGGCAGAGGAGTGGGGGCCACGGCCATGCCACAGAGTATTCTTTGCTGGGAATCTGGTCGCGGGTTTCTTGACATTGCGGGGAGCAGGATATGGCTGTGGGTCAAGAATAGGTTCCCACAATGGAATGGAAACATGGACCAAAACCTGCGGTCCCAAGTTGCTGGATTTGTGTTTTTTGGTTCCCTGCCCCTATGTCCGCACCCCTCTCACATATCGCATGGCGACAAGCTCGTTGCTCATGTCATTCAGGTAGGGTTCAGAGTAATGTGCGTCCGCACCTGGTGAGTGGCTACCAAAACTCGGGCTTGTCAAGTGCCGTGCAGGATGGCTGGTCCTGCGCATGCTGCTTCTGAGCCTCCGTGTCGAAAGAAAGTGGACAGAAGGAACACCCAGCATTATTTGCAAAGCGGTTCTACGCCCTGGTTTACGCGGCGATGCTGAGGCCAGCAAGAAAGCAAGTGCCAACCCAAGTTTTGATGATGTCCAGCAGAGTTGTGGTTGCCCGTTTGGCTTGCTTTTGAGCCATATCTCATACTCACCTCCTGAGTTCGCCTTGTATTTCTTCCTGGACTCCCAAAAGCCCGCCCCGGCCCCCGACCCCCGATCCCAGCCAGGGACCAAGAAGGCGGTTTGGGCGCTTTTTGGGAGGTCTGTTTGTTTTTGGAAGGGGCGGGAGTGGTAGGGAAGTTGAGACATGATGCTGGGCTTCCTTCTGTGCGACCAGCTGCCAAGTCCCAGGGGAAGGGTTCGAGTGAGGGGGGCCCACGCGAAAAGGCGATGATCAGAAGCTGCCACATTCTTTGGTTGGTTTGCATGGTCGATCGGTCGGTCGGTCGGTTGGTTGGTTGATTGCCAGGGGGTGTAGGCAAGAATGCCCCTCATATGTCTCTTTGGAGGGTCCAACCGAGCATCAGTTTTATATTCTCACGCAAATGGTTCTTCAATGGGAATTGTCATGGCCACAGTTTTTCCCATTTGGCTGGGTTTGGTTGTGGTGGCTGCCTTGTGTTTTGCTGTTTGTGAGCTCAAGAGGTTGCAGTTGGCTCACGATCCTCGCAATCCATAAATCTTTGTCGCCCTGTGGGTTTTCCCGTTGGCTCACCCGCTCTTCAAGGTACAGCTCACAGAATTTGCCCCCCTCTGCTGCCCACAAGATGCAGCAGAGCAGGCCGTCACTTTGCGAACCTCGGGGGGGTCGGGGTCGCCACTTGGCGAGAAGCGCCCCTCGCAGCAAGCAGCTCCTTTCCCCCGACCCTCCGACCGGACGGTTTCAAGAGCCGAAGGTGTGCCGGATGTCTTCCCGAGATTCTGCGGGTTTCTCAAAGCAACATGCCCATCGGCGCACCTGGGGAACCAAAGATGGTCTCTTTGCGGAAACTGCAAAAAGTGACCGGGGCGCGCCTTCTCTATGTTTGTAGGCCCCCCGAGAGGTTGGAATCTGTTGGTTGCTGGTTTCTGATTTGTGTCGGTCCCTGTGTGGTTGAAGTCCTAAGACTTAAGTCCAAAACTTTGTAGCCGTGGGAAGTGAAACCAGGAAGCCGTTGTTCGCAACAAGGGTCTGCATTCCTATCCTCCTCCCCCAACTCTTGGGGCGCCCCAAAAGTTGGAGCTGCATTTCTGGCTGCATCAGGTCCAACCAGGTCCCCCTGTTGATTTTCATGGAATGCTGCAATGCTTGTTGCAGGTTGAGCGCGCTTTCGTTGGGGTGATGTGTAGGATTTAGGACCATGTTCAACAGGCACAAAGCTACAAACGAGATGTAGGCTTCCTAATGGCTGAAGCCAGTCTGCCAAGCACAGCGCCATTGTTTTGAGCGATCAATGCGGAACTGGAATTTGCACCCGAGGACAAAAAAGAAGGGCTAGCGGTTTTGCAACGGAGAAGATCACGTGCTTGCATGTCCGCAAGTCCTTTTTGCTTGTCCAACTCGGATGTGCTTGTACAGACTTGATGCATGTGGGAACCTTGGTATGACCCAAGTGGGCCACAGACGCTTTGCTGGCACCCTTGCCGCAGTCACTCGAGGGAATGCGAAGCTCTTTGGCAAATCCGGCAATGGTGTGAGCGAAGGTGCTCACATTTGAGGGGAGTTTCAGCCCAACAAGCAGGCGTCACCCCCCTCGCAATTCGGCCAAATGAAGTCAGCAACCGGATAAGCGCGAAGCAAGAAAAAGCTGCAGGTCCCGTGCCGGTTCTCCAATGGGAAGTGTTTCCCGAATCTGCGACACCAAACCTCCACTTTAATCGGAGCGGCCGTGTTTTGGGCACATGAGGGCCGTGCTGTGATGGTTTGGTGTGATGTGTCATGCAAGAACCACAGCCCATCAAGTTTCTTTGGAGCATGTCTGCAATGCAGACTGCCCTTTGGTTTGTGTTCAGATTTCCGCGTAGAGGTCCTTATGAGTTTGCAACGTTCATCATTGCTCACCTGAGTCCCATGTGAAGTTCAGTCAAGCATTCAAGTAGTCTGTAACATGGGGCACGCCCTCTCCGCATCCGTTTGGACTGCTCAGAGTTTTCCTTTTGGTTTCCCTTTGCGAAAAAAGAAAAAAAGGGGTACCCTCAAAAAGGACAGAGACTGAATGTGGTGATATGTCATGAGGGAGCTGGCCCCGGTTGCATCCTTTTTGAGCAAGGGTTCTGACTGTACCAGTTGGACCCTCAGGGTTTTAGCTTCCGAGGCATCGAGAAAGGAATGCACCCCATGGCAACTGGCAAAAGGGCCAGAGTTGGCCATACGCCACGCTGCGAGAGGGGTATGTGTCAAACTAGGGGAACCCCAATAAAAGGTGGTATTCCGTTTTATTTCCCTTTAAGCCCACCAGAAGGACACGTGCCCGGAAAACGAAAAAAACACAAGCCCAAAGGGCTATCATTGGTTTGGTCGTCGAGCCCCACATACGCCCCTCTCTTCAATCTGCCGATTTCGCTGGAAGGCGAGCGTTCAACTTTCGCGCTGATCAGCCTAAGTTTACCAATTTGAGCAGAGTTTTTCTTTGTAAGACGGCAACAAGGAGAGGACACAAAGCACAGGCACATACACCAGTCTTGTTGGGCTTCCCTTTATGGCACAGGACTTTTGCTCCCTATGCTTCTTTCTCTCTCTTCTTTTCGAGCTTCTCTTGTTTGTTTGTTTGTTTGTTTGTTTGTTTGTTTGTTTGTTGGTTGGTTTGTTTGCTTGTTTGTTTGTTTGTTTGTTTGTTTGTTTGTTTGTTTGTTTGTTTGTCCGTTTGCGCCTTCCTTTCTTTCCTGGTCCATCTACGTCCTCCTCTGTTTCGATTTGTTCCCCGCTTTCTCCTCGCTCTTTCCCCGGCGCTCACCGATTCCTTGGTGCCGAGGATGGAAAACACCGACACCCAGATGGCCGCAGCCCAAGGGGAGTTGCTGGGAGGTGCACCCCAGCCCCAACCACCCCGGCCCCAACCATCCCAACCATCCCAACCATCCCAACCATCCCAACCATCCCAACCATCCCAACCATCCCAACCATCCCAACCATCCCAACCATCCCAACCATCCCAACCATCCCAACCATCCCAACCATCCCAACCATCCCAACCATCCCAATCACCCCAACCCAGTCCAACAACAAATATGATTTCTGCTTTTTTTTGACTCCTCTCTTTCTCGTACCATGACCTTTGACATGCCTTTCTTGATGTAACATCTCCAGACAGGACACAAGCAAAGCAAAACACGAGGACGCCACAGAAGACTTAATTCGGACAGCTGTTAATTTTCCCCAACAGCTCCTGAGTTGCTTTGGGAAACTTGTGGATTTTTCCGTCGGAGGCAAGATGTGTTGCTCGTTCGGGAGGTGAAAACACACTGAGAATGGAAGGTGGTCATAGGATTCCAAGGAGCCACAACTGAGTCTTTCCGGCGGTTCTTGCTCTTTAACCTACTGTTTTTTGTCTTTCGTTGGGCTATCAGGGCAAATGGCTTCAGGTCAAAGGATTCCAGGGGCCCAGCTGTCAACACGTCTGATTTAGTTTGCAAGGCAGGATTTGGATGCTTTTACGGAGCCCTGACGACCAGTTTCGTGGTTGGTTCATCCACGGCTCTTGTGGGAGGGGGACAAAGCGAGCGTGAGGTCAAAGGGCCTGGTTTTGATATCAGAATGGCCCGTGGACGATGCCCGCCTTTTTTGTGACACACTCAAAGTGAGATTTCCAATGACTTTTTCAAAGGTATCACAAAAAGTGGCATCCCAAACCGGCGCTTTATCTGCACGCATTACTACGTGCCAATCTATGCAATTGACATAGCAGGCTGGACCGGCAATCGGTTTTAGGAGAAATATTCTGTTTCTGGGCTCCCTCAAAGTCCCGTGTTCGGTTTCCAAGATCACCTTGTGGGAAGGCCTGTTTGATCAAATCGGGTTTCTGTGCGTGGAGCTGTTTCGACTTCAGAGACGAGGTTGGGGAAATTGGGCATGTTGGTGAGGACTAAATGTAGATAATCCAACCATTTCTGCTCCATCCCTCCTCCAGGCGAATCATGCCGGCCTACAGAATCCGAAAGGCCCCCCATACATCAGTACTTCAAAAGAACCTCAGAGCCTCTTACCGTGCAGCCTGAGCACTCTTTGAGTAGGCTACCTTGACATCACCTTGTGCAAGCTTTAAGCCTTAAAAAGGGTACCATGGCAAAAGCACTCACACAGGAGTAGGTTCTTTTTGAGGGTCCAGGTGAAAGGAAGCTAAGGGGAAACCCCGAGCTCCATTGTTGGGGGTCCCACAGTTTTTTTTGGCGGACAAAAACCACAAAAACCGCGTGGTGGTGCTGGAAGGAGGCCGAGGAGGACATCACCGACGACAAGAGCCCCGAGCGCTTGCCCGAGGAGCCGGGCGCTCAACTTTTCTGTTTCTCCGGCCGGAGAGATCTTTCGGGCTCATCAAATTTGTGGGCAGCCATGAACAGTTTCAATGTTCCTTTCGTTTTTGGCGTTCGTTTTTCCCGAGACCTGAAAAGTGGACAAGGGGGCTATTTTGGAACCACCTTCTGTTGGGTATGGGCTTTTAGGGTCTGAGCCAAATAGACGCCAAGCATCCATGGCAGGGGGGGTGTTAAGGAAGATCCAAGCAAGGTCCCATCAAGACGGGATGCTGGTATCCGCATCCAATCGAGATCAAATCTCGCTTCAAGAGATCCAGTCAAAGATCCACAGAACCTTTCGTCCCAAAATCCTTTTTTCACTTGTTTCGGGCAGGCCTGGAAAAAGCGGGCCAATGGACGGAATCGGGTCACCCGCTTTGGGGAGGAACACGGAAAGAAAACAAACGCATTTGGTCAGGGGCTCTACCGATTTGTTGGCACCCATTTTAGGGTCGCCCCATTTTGGTAATCAGCCAGTTTTAGGTGTCCAAATCCGGACTTTAGTGACTTTTTGGGCTTGGACAACTTTAGTAGCAAGTGAACAGTTCCCGCACTTTGTTTGGTTACCCTCCCCCCAGCCTGAAAGCTCCCAGGATCCCTTGATAAGATTTTGTTCCATTTCCATCATCGGCCAATTGGGTGAGTTGACCAATCCAAGGAAGTGAGGACCCCATTTACTTGTGCTCCGGGAATGAGAAATTCTAGAGGTACCTTCCCCGGTCTTTCCAGGGATCCGGATCTTTCTAGAACATCTCCGGAAACGCAGGGAGAACGGATGGGGTTTTTGGAAAGAACGATGGTTGAAAAGAATGGGGAATCGGAATCAACCCCTAGCAGATAAGAATATGTGTTTTATTTCCCCCTGTTGCTTTTAAAGGGAATCAACCCCTGGAGAAATGGCATGACCCGTTTTGGTGTCCCCTGAAAACGCAGCACCACCCCGCCCTCTCGCACGCTGAGGCCTCAGCAGCTGGACGAGGAGTCCCTCCAGTGGGCCCGGCCTTTTGACCAAAACAGCGAAAAACCGCCGGAAAGGGGAGGGGGGGGCTCATGAACTCCTGGAGTTCCTTCACTCACTTCCAGAGTTCATGAACTTTAAGCTTTTCGGGATGACCATTTTAGTGGCAAATATAAAGTTTGGACTTTTCTTGGGCCATCCACTCAGCCAATGAGTTAAGGTAGGGGGGAGTGCAGACTTGGTGGGTGAAAGCGGACACAAACCCCTGCTTGGGCAGTGGTCTGACCCTATATTGGGGCCTGAACAATTGGGCTGGGGTGGTGGGCTATCTTAAAGCCAAACTTAGACATGTTTACAAGAGTCTATTGGTAATCATGTAGCGCCTCTTATTTCACCATTGGGGGGGGCCTCCATGCGATCCTGTGGATTCGGTTTCATGCTGAGGCACTCTGACCCACGCGCAGACTCGCAGCCCAGTCTTGAATCATGGGAACCTGGCACCTCCTTTGTTGTTCATAGCTAAAACTGATAGTTGAAACAGCTGATGACCAAGTCAAAGATAAACCTATGGTTGCTCATTTCACCTCCTCTATGAGCAGCCGACTGGAAAGCGTGGGAAGCCGGAGCCGACTTGCAGATCAAAAGCTGCAGCTCGGGGATGATGCCCGAAGGAAACCCGTAGCTCTTCAGATGGGTTCCAGAACCGCATGTGGACACCAACGAGACTTTGCGAGTGGCCGCCCGAAAGGAGGTTGCAAAATAGACCCTGCGGTGTCCACACAAAAGGTGGGGACCCTCCCAAGAGGCGGCTTCCACTTGCTTTTTCGTCCCCCAAAACTAAAAAGACATGTCCCGTAGTGAATACTCATTCTCCCTTATTTCACGTCGCGATTTTCCGAATTCCACAAAGGCCGCCGCGTGGCTTCGGTTTTTCGAGTTCCAAAACGACCGCTATGTGGCTTCGAAGATTCACCATTGGTTTGTATGGATCTTCACCGCGGCCAGGCTGAAGAAGGACCTGCAGCGTTTCATCCTCCAGCACAAGGCCTGAGTTTTGTCTTGGTCTCTGGCAAGGCGTCAGAAGCTTGGCGTGGGAGAAGATCCCCAAGGCACGTTGCCGGTTCGCCCCTCAGGCGGAACAGGACAACATGTTCGACGAGACGGCGGACGAGGAGCGAGCGCTTGGGCTCGTTTCGCCAATGGACCCAATGGCTACATGTGGTCATGGGTCAAAAGCCCGGTTACCCCCCCGTGAACATCCCAATCCCCACTAAGACTAAAATGGACCCAAAATGGTATTCCATTGGTTTTGACCCACAGCCATGTCTTGTTTTTGTACGCTTTTGAGGGGGGTTGAACAAGGGCTGGTTGCCTTATTGTCAGAAAGCCAGGGAAAGGGTAAAAGACAAAAACCAACAGGTACATACTCGCCCCCATTTCGGGGCATAGGTTTCCCTACCCCCTTTATGGTGGACACTTCGGGTGCTTGGCTGCAAACAAAATATAAAACATAAGTATACTCAAAGTGTCCACCCACAACCACATCACGCCCTCCAAATGCGGTTCTCCGACTGGGAGTCTTTCTCACTCAGGGTGGGTCGCGTGTCGGGGTGCCGCTTGCGCATGGAATCAAGAGGCGCTTTTGAAGGAGGCCAGCAGGCGGCCAAAAGGACCCCCTATCTTGAGATGTGCGATTTTAGGCCCAGGGATTTTCTCATTTCCAGTTCAAGGGATCTTTAGGCCACCACGTGTTTTGAGTCATCACCGCCACGCTATCAAGCTTGGATGATTGCCAAGACCTGCAGGCCTGGGGATTCTTCACCCTACCCAGAACCAACCCTAGTGAGCAGTGAAAAGGCGCTGTTGGCCTGGTAGGGACGGTCATCAACTTAGGGATTCTATGATTTGGACCATTGAAGATTTTGGATCCCTAAGAATGGGCAACATTTTCTGTTGGTCTGCCTTTCAAACAATCCAGAACGGAGTCCTGTCTCTAAACAAGGGAGCACGCGAGTGATTTCGCCTGTCAGTCTTCCAATGACTTGCCCGTCCGGGCATTTCCGGGCCAATTCGGCACATCAAGCAGCTTGGTGTGGAGAGACCACTCCGCTCTCAGCCACGAAAACCCATGTCTTCAGCTCAGACTCCCAAGTTGGGGCTGCGGGACGGAGTACCTTTATCTAGGGGATTCCCCATTCTTTTCCAACATCGTTCTTTTCAATATCCAGCTGTTTTCCCAGGGTTTTTGGTGGTTTTCTAGAAAGAAGGATCCCTGGAAAGAAAGAATGGAAAAGCTTTTCTTGGAACAAAAGTCGCCCTCGACTGCATCATCGACTCGGCTCAAGCCGCTCGGGGCTGCGATGGCCGCCAGGACGCCATCCGCAAGGCCGCCACCGGACAGGCGAACGCCATCAGCCAGCGGGGCGCTCAGATCCGAAGCTGCGAGGTGGAGGGGGGCTGCGGTGGATGGTGGGTGGGGTGGATGGTGGGTGGGGTGGGGTGGGGGTGGGGTGGGGGGGTTGGGGTGGTGGGGTGGGGGTGTTGGTTGGGGGGGGGATCCAAGGCTGGAAGGAAGAGCCTAGGTGTTTATAGGGGAGTTGTGGGAACGAGCGGCGTGGGAGCAAGGGCAACGACAGCACTTGCCTTTGCTTCGAGTTGTAACAGAGGCAAACTCTTGGAAATGCGACACGGTCACCGACCAAAAGAGCAATATGATGCAAGGGGTTATACATATATATATATATATGTATATATATATATATTTATATGTATGCATGTATGTGTGTGGTTTTCAAAGCACAGTTTTGCATGCTACCAAGGTGGGGTCCAACGGAGTGAGGGTCCCAGGGTATAGGGCACAGTGCAATCCCACATTGCCATAACTTACCTTCTCGAACCGCCTTTTGCCCTTTTGGCCCCTGCCCTTTCCCTTCCTTTCCCCTTCTTTACCAACCCGACCTGACCGGAGCCGAGTGGCCCTTGGGCCCCGAGCCGAGGGAGCGCTCGATGTCAGGACTGGAGCGTCTGCAGACGACTGGGACGACGTGGAGGGGCGCGGGCCTTGGATCGATCGGGTCCTTCGACTCTCGGTTAAACTGGGGGCCGCCCTTCACTGTTCTTGGGTGAGTTTTTGGTTTCCGTTTTTTTTGTTTTTTTGGGGCTTCTTTTCCTTTTTAGTAGGGCTGCAAGAAAGCAGTTGCAGTCATACCAAGGATTGTGAACCCATTGATTCCCTCTTTCCCTTGGTACGGACAGGTCTATTTTCTACAATATGTCGTTTAACATCAAATGCCAGACAGTCCGCAGACTTATGGGGGTACTCTGCATCTTCAGCTCATGTGCGGCGGATTTCTGCCGGTTTCACTCTTTACCTGAGGGTAGACCTGGCTTGTAGACCCGCACCAATTCGTTTGACTCATCAGGTACTACAAGGCGAAGATTGGGGAAATCATGTTCGACAGATACGAGGTCACTGACGCCCGGACCTTGGATCTTCGATTGCGAGCTGGGCCAACACCCCGGCCCCAACAAGCCCCCGCCACCCACTGGGAGACTCAGTGTGTCTAGGGGCAGCGGACCCTGGTGCCCGCCTGCCGGTGTCAGCACGGCTTTGGACAAAAGGGGCTTGCTCTTTTTGGGAGGGGCGTTCCAGCTTGTTCCCCTACGACAAATGGAGCAGAGGAGTTTTTTTTCCGGGCGGGGGACCCCCCCAAAACCATAGATTACTACCCCCCCCCCTTGTACCCCCCCTTTTTCATTTAAGTGTAAAACGCTTATCTGCCTAGGGTGCCTGGGACAGGTCCTTGGGGGAATGCACTTCCAGCCCCGCACGCTAGCAAAACTCCTTGGGAGAGGCTGGAATCACGAGCATCGCATTTGCAAGCGAAGCGTTTCGATCAGTAAAGGCCAATAGCGACAACATACGAGACAGGCTAGCCTGACACTCGTTCCTTTGCTAAATGACTCGGGAAAATTGCTCCCCTAAAGCTCGTCTCTTTGCTATTCTCTTTGCCAAATGCTCCCCTACGACTCAAGCCCTCGCCAGTTTTCCTGGGTTTGTGTGAAAATCCGCAGAAAACAGCCCCGGGAAGCCCAAACACTGAAAAAACTCGAGTTTTACGGACCCCCCCCTTTCAAATAGGGTACTAATAGCGTACTAATAGCAGCCTATTAGTCAGCTATTCGGGCCCCAATAGACTTACAGACCCCCCCCCCGGTTTCAATTAGCTTGCTAATAGGTTGCTAAAAACAGTGACCAGCTACCTAGACCCCGCGAGCAATGCAATTCAGCCAGACTCCGCCAGACTCGGACGCTTTGATACCTTTTCTCCCACTCGGCATTTTTGCCGCCCAGTTTGAACAGCTGATTGAGCCACTCAGACTGTGCCCAGTGGACTTGTACTTTGCTGAAGTCTTCGGGGATCAATATGGTGATATGACCCAAAACTTGGCGGCTATCCGACGATTTCAGTACCAGCCATCGCGGCATTGCAACAACCTGCCGCCTGTAAAGACTTCGAGCTTTTGAAGCAGCGTGACAACCCCGCACAATCCTGGAGGAAAATATGGCTGCTAATAGCTACCTAATAGCAGCTATTTGTACGCTAAAGCCGGGAAGCTATTAGCAGCTATTAGTAAGCTATTAGGAAGTTATTAGTAAGCTGTTAGCGCACAGCCCTGCAAAGACCTCTTAGATGAAATGGGGGAGGGGGTAAAAGGGGGGAGGGGTTTTGTAATCTATGGCAAGAAAGAGCAAGAGATGCTTTTCCCTTCACGTCCCTATAGGCGGACTTGTTGTGGTCTCCACGGCACGGCGTGAGCACTGGTGGCACCTGCGGAAATAGGGACCGCCGCAGCTTTGATGGCACAGGTGTTATACTGTCCGAGTAGCATCGCGCTACTCCATCGCCTTTTGGCTTCCCTATAAGACAGAGCGCACTTTCCGGGCTACCCTCCAACAAAAAAAACAAAAAAAAAACGCCACGCCCCCAGCCCGGAAAGGTCCAAGCCCCTCGCTTCCGCCGTGGCTCGCCGCCCAGGACTTCGTGGGGAAGGGCGTCTTCTCCAATGTCTGCAAGGCCAAGGACCAGGCGAAGCGATCGCTCCGATCGATCGATCGCATAGGACAAGCGCGTTTTTGTCTTTTTTTGTTTCTCCGCCCGTGAAAGCATAAAACACCGGAAGCTTTCTGTTTCTCCACGCGCGAAGATGAAAGAAACACCGGAAAAAGACATGGAGGGAGGAGCCTTCCCTCCAGTTCCCAACAAACCGCAAAACGACGGACAGGTCAGGTCCGAAAGGGGGGAAGCTGCAGAAGCTTTGGCTGTGGCTCATCTGTGTTGCGACATGGGATCACCAGGGACCCAAGCGGGTAATTACCTCCCCAAACACCTGGCGCGAAGTGGATCCGCTGGTTCCATGTGGGCGAACACTGGGCTCTTGGCCCCAGTTCCCGATTTTCCATCTGTCCGCCCTGGAAGTGGAGGTAGGCTTTTCAGGAAAGTCGTTTTGCAAGAGGTAGATCTCGGTCCCGGCAACACGGGCCGCAATTCTCACTTCTCCAATGCGAATCACTCTTTTTGACCTTTAGGGACAACCCCCCGGCTTTTGGTGTATTTTTAGTCAAGATCCCAAAAGGGTTATCTTTAGATTTGCCACTGCGCTTAGGAGCGAACCCTTAATGATCAGTGCCCCGTGCCAAGACCAAGACCTTTTGCTTTGCGACGCGAACACGGGACACTCACTTCCTCAGATTCTGGACTTTTCCAGACTCTTTTGGAAGATTCGTAATCTGGAAAATCAAGAGGTTTTGACTGTTGTTGGCAAGTCCACTCAGGAAGTGAGCCGGGGAGCCGTGGCTAACTCTGCTCAACATACATCTAGATTCCCTCAATGTCACGAGCCGTGCTGCGTGTCAGACGGATGGGTCCATGGTGGCCATCAAAGTCATGCGCTGCAACGATATGATGAAAAAGGCCGGGAGGGACTTCACTGAATCTATGGCTTGGGGATGAGACAACACCTGGTGCAAGCGCACCCTTTACCTCCAAACCCGATTCCATCCGAACCGCCTGAGGGGAAGCTGATTTCGAGGGGCATGTGGGGTGGGAAAGAGGTGGACTGGAGGGGAAGGAGCAGGATACACCGTTCTCCGCGTCAAAAACTCGGCAAGCCTCATGTTTGGTTGGAGTCGCACGCCTGGAATCGTGGTATGGTGGCTTTCACTTTCAGGGACGGGGTGATCCGCAACCATTCTGCAGCTTGGCGGGTTGAATTGGCCGATTTGTTGGACTTGGGGGGGGGGAGAGGAAGGTAACGAAAAGCGGAATTTCACTTTGGTATGCGCCAAGAAACAGGGGCCCTCAAAAATCGTGGATTTTCCTTTTGGTTTCCCGTTCATCTCAACTCAAAAAGGCCCCCCTGAAAGAAACACAGCTTGACTTGTGCGGAGCCAGGCTGCAGAGAAGGAGGTGGAGATTTTGGAGAGACTCAACAAGGCGGACAAGCAAAACAAGAGGCGGGTTCTCAATTTTCCGCGCCCTCGGGCAGCGAGGAAGCCAGGTGAACAAGAAAGAACCAAAAGGAAACCACAGGAAAATTTGTTTTGGGCGGTTCTTTCGGAACCTTTGGTCATTCCCGCTTCTTGTTTTGATTCTGAGGGATTTGTGCAGATCTGCTGGGTAGTAACTGGTGAATGCCGGCCGGGAATCTGGGGGCAAGTGGGATGGAGCTATGCGTGTTGCATGTTGCCGACTGAGATGAAGTCAGCTCCTTCCCGGTCCTTGACGACCCACAGACCGAGAGACCGACAGATCTACGGACTGAGACGGAGATCCGCATATTAGCTAGGCAGATACCGGTGGATAGAGTAGATAGAGATACGTGTATAGCCATACACAGGCACATGTGTATATGTATTGTACAGATTATACATATACCTATAACTATACATCTTGTTGGCATGTGTATATATACATATACACGGCATGCAATTTGTATATATATATATATAGACATTACATATATATATATATATGTATATATATATGTATATATATATATGTATGTATATATATATATATGCATATGCATGTGCACAGAGAGAGAGAGAGAGAGAGAGAGAGAGTGAGAGAGAGAGAGAGAGAGATAGAGATTTGCCCTTTTGGCAGGCACGTCATTCGCCTGCATCGCCACTTCATGTACCGTGGGCATTTGTGCCTGGTCTTCGAGCGCGGAGGCTTAGTTCCGAGTGCCTGGTTTTGCGGCGGGGGGCCGCGTTGGACCACTCAACCACGCTTTGGGCCGCATTGGCTTTAGGTTTTTAGATGTTTTTACTTGGTGTTGTGGTAGTTTCCGCTAAACCACGAAAAGTGACCTCCATTGGAGGGGTCAGGACCTTCTTTGGAGGGGTCGGGACCTTCATTGGAAGGTCTGGATAAGACTTCAACAAGTTGGTTTTTGAGGCTGCCGAGATTCCTAGGGCCAGGTGATCGTGTGAGATGGTTTGGTGCGCAGTGAACAAATCACGGGCTTGGAGAGAATGAACTGAGCCACAATAAAAACCCGGGTAAGTGAAGGTGAGTAAGGGACAGTCCCTGCCATAAATAGCTGCGGCCGCCTTCTTAGTTCATTACATGGTTCTGGGTCGACCATTTTTGTACCAGGTTTTGATTGTGACTCAACTGGACTCCCGTAAGAAAAGCCACAGAGCAGTGGGGGGGGGGTCATTCCTCATTCCCCACTGAGAAGCAGCAAGACAAGGGACCGGGTCCCAAGAAGCACATGCGAACTTTCGGAGTCGGAACCTCCAAAGTGGTTGGTGGACCTTTTTACCCACCGAGTTCTGTGGTCCAGGAGCCGTTAAAATTCATACCCATGTTAATATTGTTTTGGTGTACCAAAGAGGGAACCTCAAAAACGAAACGGCCCACACAGCCTCCCTTTCAACTATGTGTGGCTTCTTTGGGCACACCCCGGCCTCCACAGTCGTTTCCCTTGAAAGGTACCCCTCTTGGGGCTTTGGGGCAAGTCTCCAAATCGGGAGACAACCCCCCCCGAAATTTCGAAGCGCACACACACAGAAACAAAGAGCCAGTTTTGAGTTTGGTTTCCCCAGCCAACCACCAAGTACCAGCTCAAAACAAGGACCCCAAGATCGGGCAGGCGCACTGCGTCGCTTGGGCCTGGGTGTTTTTTGGGCTCTGAGTTTCTGCCTGGCAGGAGCTCTCCGTGCGGTTTTTAGTTGGGGTGAAATCGCAGCATTTCCAGGGCCCCAGATGCTCAGTGCACTCCAAAACCTGCCGCAGAGTGCAGATGGCATCAATGGTTTCTTTTTTTGCTTTTTTAACATGTGATTCTCTTGGACGTGCATGTACTCCTTCTCTCAAGACTCGCAGACATTCTTGAACAATTCGGGAAGCGGGCGCAAATTGCGGTGGCTTCATTGGCTGGCAAGTGCTAGGATCATGCGAATCGTTCTTTTCGACTCCGGCTAGTTGTTTTGGTGTCGTGGCTGGGAGGTAGTGGTGGTGTCCCATTTATTTTCTACAAGAAGCCAGAAGTTGAAATCCCGCAAACCAATCCGAACCACTGCTTCGGGGGACCCTGCTTGGTTTGGACTGGTTTTCTTTTGAGATACCAAGTGGGAAGGTCCCTAGCCGAGATCTCAGGGGTCAGGCTCAACCTGGCTCAATGCCATACGTAGGGGGTGGTTCTCCTATCCTTGGCTCCTTGGCATCACCCATTGTGATGCTGCTCCAGAAATGGCTCCGGGCATGTTGTGATTGGAGTAAATCCCAGTCGGCGAAGTACATGCTGATGAGAATCGAATGCTTCCCTTCAGGGAGCCATTCCCTTTCCAACCATATTCCATCCTGTTGCTTGGGTTTGTAGATGGTTTCAGTTGGTTTTGTGGTAGTTTCCACTAAACCAGGAGAAGTTAACATCTGTCCTTTTTTCACGTTGGACACCACCAGCTTTTTCACACCAGTCGGGTGGAGAAATACAGGGGATGGTTCAGGGTGGCCCTAAAAGCACTGGCACAAAGACCGTTCCCCCAAACCGACCTGTGTACTTTTGCCGAAAGGACAAGGCTGTTGGAAACCTCCACATCCCAAGTGAGGGCAGTTTTTTGAGGTCCCGATTAAAGGTTCTGGGGCGAAACCCCACACTGAAAAACCGCTCAAGGGAAGTCGGAAGTGCAGGGGCCTCCTTGTCCACTGCTCGCGGCTGTGAGGTGCATGTGGGACAACTTGAGAGTAGCTCTCAAGAAGTGCGCCATGGCAGGCTCAGAGTCAGGCAGATGCCAATGAGGGGAAATAGGGGAGAGACGTTGCAGCCGGCGAGCTGGCATATGACCTGGGCAGACATCCTTGCTTGCATTCCTGCGTACATTCTGGCGCGCCCGCCCACCCCACGCCCACACGCCCGCACGCAGGCCCGCAAGCTCACGCATGTGCACTCACGCGTGCGCGCACACGCAGGCGCACACAGGCGCGCACGGATGCGCACCCGCAAACGCGCAGGGCGCACTCGCGTGCACCCCACACCCACCCACCTGCCCGACCGCCCACACACTCGCCGGCCCGCCCACCTGCCCACTTCCCAAATGGTCATCCCATGTAAAGGACCTTTTGATCATGTGCGGGCCAGTCCGACGGCAGGTACACCAAGGACAAGGGCATGTCCTTGCAAGCGGTCCGGGCGTGCGCTTGCCGACCGTCTTTTTGAGCTGGTGACGAGCCCGGGATGTTCAGATATATGGGTTGGGCCCCCGCTTTTTTGGCGTTGTTGAAAGGGAAGCAAACAACAACGTTTGCTTTTAGTTTTTTCGGGGGGAGGGGGGGTACCACCTTGCCTGTTCCTAAATCCCATATTAGCATGGCGATGTGGCAAAAAAAGAAACACGGCGATTCTGGCCCGAGCTGTTTCGGCGCACCCCCACACCCGGTGCTAAGGACAACTCCAGTTGCTTTCGTGACATTTTGATTCCTCTAGAGGACTCTCCTTTTGCGGGGCGCCTTGCTTCCAATGTCGACCTCTGATTTACCCAGTTGTCAGGAAGGGCCCCTGGAAGAAAGTAACCCCCACAAGACCGCATGAGTACGAACTTGAGGGGACATGCACTGGTCAGAATTTGGGGACAAAGGTCCAGCAACCACTTGGCAGCCTCCTCATTGAAAACCATAATCATGTGGGTGCTTTTTCTCACTTCTTCCCTGTCACCGTCCACAAACAGTGCCTGTTGCTTGCTTGCTTGCTTGCTTGCTTGCTTGCTTGCTTGCTTGCTTGCTTGCTTGCTTGCTTGCTTGCTTGCTTGCTTGCTTGCTTGCTTGCTTGCTTGTTTGCTTGCTTGCTTGCTTGCTTGCTTGTTTGCTTTCGTTCCTGCCTCTCTCACATCAATCAGCAGGGCAGTTGCACAGACTCACATGGGTAAATTTTGCCACCAAAACAAAGGATATCACATGCCTTGGCCCGTTTCAAGAGAAGACGAAAAGGGACCCACCCACTTTTAGCACTCCAATTTCTACTTTTGGACGCTCCACGTTTGTGAATCTCCCTTGGGCTCTGTGGAATCATCTTATGGACCGGCGTCTTCTTTCGGGAAGGTATTTTCAGGTGGGAAATGCTTCACGGTCCGTCCCGTGTGCCGGTCGCTGTCCCAACAAACCGGATACGTTGGGCGTGTCCCTTCACATGCTGCCCTTGTTTGGGAGTCTGGTTTTTTCTTGGGACAACGGAAGGCATGTGGGGACTCTCCGTTTTGCAGTCGGGACTATCCAAGGGACACCAAGGAGAATTCGCCATGAGGTACACCCGGCAGCTGCTGATTGCTTTGCGGCACTTGCACAAGCCGGGCTGCCAGTGGAAGCAAACATGTGACCTTTGTTTCGTTACCGGACGCACCGATTCAATTTTCTTTTTTTTCGGGGCGACTACCAAAAAACAGGGTGCTTTTGTCCTCATGGCCACTGGGTGCTTGGAGGATAATCGAACCCCCGGACTAAGCGCATTCGAGTGTTCCCCTCCAGGAGTGATGAGCTCCCACGGGCATCCCCTATTAATCAAACGGGGGTACAAAAATCCGGGGTTCTCACTACTTTTTGTGTGTGTTTCTTTAGGGCAGTTCCAAAACACGCTGTCGTGCATTTTTCAGGATTCCCTGGATTAAGCAAGCCCTGGTTGATAAAATTGGGGGTCACTGTTGCATTTTCCTCAGGGAGACACACAACAACATAAATCCTTGCAACCGAAAATGTGGATGGTGTATAAATCCCTTTTTGGTGGTTTTGAAGATCGGGTTTCCGCGCATCTCCCTTGGCGAGTTTCTGTGTAGGGGTGATGTCTTAAGGGACACATCTGGAGACCGCAGGGAGACCTGTGGCAGGAAATGCCCGTCAGCACGTCTTGCAAACCGAGGTGTGGAATTATCCACGCTGACATCAAGCCGGACAACATTTTGATCAGCGCTGGCCACAACGTCGCCGGGGGCCTCTTTTGTTTCTTTTTTGTTTGTTTGTTTTTGTTTGTAATTGTTGTTTGAATGTGCTTTGGCTGTCACGCACTCCTTTTTTTGTCCCCTGAATCCTCCAACTGGAAACCGCGACATGCATGAATAGGTGAAAGGTATATATGCATACATATTTATGCAACCCCCCCTCACCAAGGACCCTGGTTTTGGTGCCTTTTAGTGATGATAATTCTGGAATCTAGAGATTTGGAACCTTGAAATGTGCAATTTTGGCCCCCCAACGCCTCATAATTTGGAGCCCGGAGTCCCAGAAATGTCCCAATATGAGATCCTTTCCAAATAGCATTTTGCTTCAACTAGAATTGGAATTTGAATAGAATTTAGTAAGGATATAATTTTCGACAATGTGTTTTATGTTCAATCACAACTCAAATAAACAAGTCCTTTCCAAATAGGAGTTACATCAACAGTGTAAATATAATTTCGGGTAAAATCCAACTAATCTTTAGCAACAAAAGTAGATGAGCCTTTTGCCAAGCATAATTTAGATGTTAAAATAGCCTAATACGAACAAACATCAATTAGCTTTTGATAACAATCGAATAGTAACTAAGTCTCAAGGCCCGAAATTAAATTTGTTAGATGGTGTTCCAAAATAGACATTTCAAGAGACTAGAGGTTCAAATTGTAAAACTATCTCGAAACGGGGATTTAGCTAAATCAGTTGAATTTAATGTCTTATTGTAAACGCTTCGAGTTGCCCGCCTTGGTCAGTCCGCTTTTGGCTGGCTTTCAGGTGTATGGTGTGCTTTAGCTTGCCTTGAAGTGTTGTTACTAAAGTGAGTGAGTCGGCGCCGAAATGCGTGAGCTGGTTTCCAAGCTAGAGGGAGGGTGCATGTCCGCACGATTCCACCTGGCTTCAAGGGCCAGAACGAGAGCTGCAGAGAGCTACAGAAGGGCCAAGCGCAGGCCATTGCTAGGGAATTCGACTTCTTTTTTTTGGGGGGGGGGCTTTTGCCGGTTTCTAGCGGATTTGACAGGTATCTAGACGGGAGTTTGACCGGTTTCTACAGTCTTTAGGGGGGATTTGATTGGTTTCTGAAGGGGTTTCTGAAGGAAAAGTTGACCGCGGCTTCTGGCGGGATAACCCCCGGCGCGCGGCCAAAATCCCCACTCCAGCTGGTTCCAGGTGGTGTGAAGCGAGTCTGGAAGCAGGCCCTCAGGGCCGGGAGATCCCCAAAAGCCAGACCAAATCTGTAGAAACTGGAAAAAAGTTCGGGGGGGGGGGGCAGTGTGTCGATATTAAAATATATATGTTTATGTATGCACATACAAACATCTAGTACCCCTCATGATCCTGCGCCTCTTCATAGAATGCTGCAATTTATCATGTTTTCAGCATCGCACCTAGCTTTACCTCCTGGAAATAAGAGTCAGCATGAGCATAGCTTGCATGAAGCATAACGCTCACCAAAAGCACTTGGCAGTTTGTCTAAGATCTTAACTGGATCGCTAAGCGTTTGAGAGTAGTTTACCACTAGATTGAAAAATGCCACCGGATTGAAGATTCAAGATTGAAATCTTGCACAGAAAGCTTTTCCGAGAATCTCTCACTTTGAACCTGCCCATTGCGGGAACTTGGAGGGTTGCAGAACAATAGACCGAAGGTGGGTGGGCACGCTTGGTTGCAGAAATATGTGTGGACAACCATGGAATGTTTGATTCTTCGAAAATCTGGGGCTCAAGATTCAAGATTCTCAACAGGAATTTTCGCAGATTCTTGAATCTTGAATCCCAGTTTTTTGTTTTCTAAATCCAGAGTAGTCTGTCGGATGGCAGCCGCACTTGCGCAAGAAAAATCGTCCACTCGATCGCAGACTTGTCCGCCATGTCCGCCTGCCGCCAAAACCTACTCTCAGGGGGCCATTTCTGAAGGGTTTGAGCGATGCAGGGGATGCAGGGCCAGGGGATGTAAGGGATGCTGGAACGCCCAGATGCTGGTGATGCAGGGATGTTGATACATTGCTTACAGTACGTATGTATGTATATGTGAGTATATGTACACATACATATGGCACCCCCTCCCCCCAATTGTGCCACAACATCAAGGAGGCAACAAAAGGCACAACACACTGGAAAACACAGCTCAAGTCACCAAACCAGGGTCCATGGGGGGATATATATGTATATAGATGTCAATATATGTATGTATGTATGTATTCCTAATATACATAGATTTGTACGTAGTATCAAACTACATGGCAAATGAACTGCAAATATGTCCGTTACCCTGTGCATGTTGATTGCCGAGCGTCATTCTCTCTCTCTCTCTCTCTCTCTCTCTCTCTCTCTTTCTCTACAAATTACATATATATATATATATATATGTATGTACACGCATACACATAATGTCGTGCTCTCACCCCCTTGTCGCTGCCTGTGCTCGCAAAGATTCATTCGCTGTTGCCTTTGCAAAGACACAACTTAACAATCGAAAAGGCGGGCGTTGGCACATCACAATGGAAACCCGGATGAGTAACCCGCCGGGTTGATTCATAGGGGGTGTCTGCTTTTGGTGGGATTCATTACTTTTGGAGGGGAACCTCCCTATTAGCAGGCTGGGTTAGTAATCATGACTCGACATTGCTGCGCTCCCATGCCAGTCACAACACATAAGCACACATTGCTAACATTGGGGAATCCACACCGGAACTCCAGTTTGAATGTTATCCTATTTTCACTGGCTACTTAATACAAGGAACCAGGTGACAGGACAAACATTGGCATCTATACCACTGGTTTTTTGTGCGTTGCGGAAAGCGACCCTGGCGGCGGAATCCATGCCTGTTTTGTCTTCTCCGGGTGGGTGAAGCCACCGAAACTGGCATCGGCTTCCTTTTGCTGAGATCACACACATGCTATATATATATATATGCTCAAACAGAAATACACGGGAGCCTCTCAACAGTTATGATTCGGCAAACAACCTACGGGCACGCAAGTTCTCCGAAGTAGAGTGTGGGATTGCCGCTCCCAGTATCAAGTTGGCCCACAAGAGTGGTGATAGCCATTTCCGTGATGCCAAAGCGGTTGATTCTCAAACCCATGACTTGATCTTTTGCCTGGCTTGTTTTTGGCACGGATCGCAAAGCTGTTGAATTGGTCGTTATCTATTCCAAGCAACGGATCGCCTGAATGCCCCTGGATTTGGGTTCCGTGGAGCCAACGGCTATGATCAAGAGTCGGAACCACCTCCCCAGTGCTTGGACCTTTTCTCTATGAATTCTAATTTGCATTTGGCAGTGAAACATGCCCAGAAGGGGCGGAGATTGCTTTCTTCCATTTTTCATTTCCAAAGAACCAGCCGATGTTGGCAGCAAGGGCTTTTGTCGTTCTTGCAAAACACCCACCTCCCAGAGGCTTTTTTTTCTGCGTAAGACCTGGGACCAACTGGGATCCCAACTCCAAATGGCCGAGTCCTAGGGACTTGGACCCCCAGATGGTTGGTTTTGTTTTCCTCTTGGCTTCCCCTCCCCCCCAAAAAAAACAACAACAACGCTCCATACGCTGAAAAGCCGAAAACGGGTAGCCAACCCCTCCTCCATACCAAACCCCAAGAATAACCGGTACCCAACTCAAAGAAGAGGAACACGCGGCACATCCGCCACGAAGCCCTCCCCGCGCACCGAATCGCGTGAGGTGAAGATCTGCGATTTGGGCAGCGCTATGGAGCTCACCGAGGCGGAGCGCCCGGGTTTGGGATTCGGGGGATGGGTTTCGGGGAGGAGGTTCCAAGTCTTTTTTCTTCATTTTTTGTTTTCCTTTCTTTTTTTCTTCTTCCTCTTATTTTCTTTAGAGGAACCCTGGCTGCTGAGGGTCGAAAACAAATCAAAACATAAGTCATCGGCCAATGAGAGGCAGCGGGGTTGAAGGCAACCTCTCCCACTTAAGACTGGGGTGGGCTGGTGGTTGTTTGTCTAGGTCCCCTAGCTAGGTGCCCTTTCTCACCCCTTTTTTTGGTTGGGAGGGTTCCCCTACTAAAATAGACTACAGAAAGAGGGGTACCCTTTCTAACCTCTCTACTGGACCTAGTTGTGGCGCCTCAACTCTGTCTTGTTTTGGTGTGTGGGCCATTTGGTTTTGCTTGGTGCTTTCGGTTGGGCCATCTGTCGGCTTCTCGGAAAAGTCTTCGAATTCGGCGCGGGCCGCAAGATCGGCCGTTCGATATGTTTTTCGGGAGGGGTTGGGGGGGTTGGGGGTTGGGGGTTTGTGTGGAGAAACCCTTGGTTGCAACCCAACTCAAAGGGGAAGTACAGCGATCATGACCTTGTGTTAAGCCTGGCCCCTTGATAGAAATCCAGGCTCTGGGATTTTCTGTCTTTTTGCCTTTCAACGGCGCCTTTTCAGGCCCGCAACGTGCTCTAAGTGATTCTATGTGGGGTTGCCACAAGTCCCCGCCTGATCCGGTTTGGATCGCGTTTGATGTGCAAAGAAACTTTCTTTTCTTGCCAATCAGTCCAAACCATTTATTTAGGGTCAGCAGGGATCTCCCAACCTCCCTACGCCGGGCAGGTGGAACCCACGCCGTATCTGGTGAGCCGCTTTTACCGAGCGCCGGAGATTGTCCTGGCTGCCAGGTGAGCCCTAGGAGTGCGGTTGTGATGTGGTTGGGTGAGACGCGGCAAGCGAGGCGTCGGGGGAGTTGTATGTCAAAGGAGGGAATTTGCAGGGCGGTTGGTTTCTCGAAATCGCAATTCGGATTGGCACTTCCGTTGGTTCTCAAGGTTCAGGATTCCGGCGCTGTTGCGTACTTCAAGACAATGACCAACAAGGGCAAACCATTTGTGTTTGGGTTCTTTGTTTTTTTTTCCCGGGCCAGGCCCTTGTGATGGGGTTGAAAGGCATTCCTGATTCCAAGCACGTTGTCCTTGCGGAGGAATGGCGATTGGGCCCCCTAGGCTGATTGGAGGCAGCGCATTTCACGAGCGCAACGCGATATGGCCATGGGTCAAAATCCCGTCCCCCCAGTGAGCATCCCAATCCCCACTAAAATAGACTAATTGGTTTCGACCCAGGGCCATATGGGTATCTAGAAATTGGAGTTGGACCGTGTAAACATGTGCTTGTCACATGTTTTTGGGTCTGCCTTTTCGCGGGTCAAATGCGGGGCCACTGGGAGCATTCGCGCCCTCGTGGGAGTCGAATGCAGGAGGAGAGTCAACAGCAATTTTGCATGGCCTGCATTGCCTGCGAGTTTCAGGGCTTGCTTGTTTGCTTCCTTTGCTTGCTTGCCCACCTGCCTGCTTGCTTGCCCCAGCTGCCATTTGCCATGTGGTTGTTGCCTCGACCAAGATTTAGGCAACTTCCCCGGCCCTAAGAATGGACGACCGCTCTTGAAATTTTGGAAAGGTAACCCACCAGGGTTTTGGGGTTTGGGGGTCTTGTGGTTTTTTTGGGGGCCAACTGGCTTTGCAAAGAGTACTGAGCCAATCCAGTTTGCTGGGCTTTTCTGGGCCGTCGCGATTCATTGCCCTTGAAAGGAGTTGGTCCTTTCCTCGTTGTCCGATCATGGATTGTGGACAGAGAACTTCCACGCTTTCATCTTGGGGTGTCCATCTTTAAAGTTAGGGGAAACAGAACCAAACGGGCCGAAAAGGAGGGTCCGCTGAGACTGAAAATTGGCGGCTCCCCTTCTCTGGCCACTTCCCTTTTCCTTGCAAAATGCAGAAGCAAAACACGGAACACATGCAACAAAGCGCTTTTACAGCGACACAAGACTAGGTCCCCCAGTAGTGCCCTTTTACCCACTTTTTTGGTTGGGAGGGTTCCCCTACTAAAATAGACCAAACAAAAAACCACATGGGGTACCCAACTTATTCTATCCTCTCAAGTCTGGAGGACCGCATCAGGCGCCTCCGTCGAACATGCGGATGGTAGGTACTCCTTCTCGCTGGACGTGTTCGCCATGGGCTGCACGCTCTTCGAGCTCTTCACCGGGAAGATCTTGTTCCCGGGGAAGCGGGGGCTCCCCAGATTCGGCCTTTCTTTGGGTTGGCCCCCTTAGACTCTTAGACTTTAACCTTTGGAGGAAAATCAAGCGACGTTTTTCCACTGAACCCCCAAAAAGTGGTTTCTTCCTTTTTTTCTGGCGGAGGGGGGGTCAACAGCAACCAAGTTTCTTCAGAGGAGCTCAACACTCCGGTTTTTCCGAGCCGTTAGCCCTTTTTGGAACGCCGCCAGTAAAATCGCAACTTTTTAGGGGGGAGATCCGGTGACCCCCTGAAAAACACCTGCTGCTGCTGGTTGTTTGTGGCTTCCATCTGGTTCCAAAGGGCTATTCTGTTTCACAATGCCTTTGGGCTCGCCAAAGAATCAGCCTATGGTCCATTCGGGACATGGCACAACTCACTCTTTTCGCTCTAACTCTTTTGGGAACCCCCTTTTAGTGTGAGACCAGAGCGCAGTCTTGCGACATGCTGTTGCCACCCTTGATAAGAGCATAACCCTCAGAGAAGCCCTTACTCAGGCTGTTCCTGAAATGTTGCAAGTAGAGGGACCGGGCAAGCTCTCTATTGTGCTGCAAGTCTCCACAAGCTGCGGCCACTTTGAACGACTCTGGGACTCCCTCGTATTCAGAGGCAATTGTTCGTGCTGCTGATTCCGAGGACCAACAACGACATGCTGAGGCTCTTCATGGAAGTGAAGGCACGCCAGTTGTATGCGATGCCGCGATCCTGAATCCAATATGCCGCGCTTTTTTGGAGCTCCACGTATGCATGATTTTAAAGGCGACAATCAAGTTTCAGAACCCGCCAAATGATTCCAAGTATTTTCAGAATCCAGATCGAGCATGCCAACAGAGAGAGAGAGAGAGAGAGAGAGAGAGAGAGACAGAGAGAGACAGAGAGAGAGAGAGAGAGAGAGTGAGGGGGGAGAGAGGGCTCGGGTATAATTCCATGGGAATACCATCAGATAGCAAGACAAATTCATTGGCAAACCTGACCAAACCTTTAAAAATCCAGCGACTCCAGCCAAAAGGGCATACATGGAAGCCTTTCTTGGCATAGGTCTTGCCCTATCCATAGATATTTTCTCGTTTCGGGCCGGCCGGAATGGAAAAGTCCGGGGGGGGAAAAAACAGACAAAAACAGAAGGTTCCTCACTTATCAACACTTTTGGATTCCCGTGAAAGCAAACCCCAAAACGGTTGGATTCCGGTTCCCTCAAACTGAGAGGTAGGGGTGGATGTGTATCATGTGTCCAAGCTCCGGTAAGGTTTGTGCTGTTTGCATTCGAATCTGATGTTTGGTGGAAACCCCGGAGTATTGAACCCCTGGTTCATCATGACTTTTGTATGCTGTTGCTGTCTCCCAGAGAAAGCCAGATGATTTCCACAGCCAAACACCCAGTCGGTCCTCGACTGGACGGCAACAACACATCCCCTGAAGTTGTTGTTCTCAGCCTGGAGCAAGGGTGGCCAATCGCAGTCACTGAGTTGATTTTTTTTTTCAGAAGATGAGGAGCGTCTTTACTATTGCAGGGCTCCTTAAGAGAAACATTTTGCCACCATTTGAAACATGTTGTTTTTCCCACCAAAATAAAAGGACACCGCCATTTACAAGTTGCAATGTTCAGGTGTTTTTCATGTAATCGGATCCCTGTATTTGGAGCCCATGTTTGCTTTTGGGGAGGGGAGGTCAGCCCAAAAACAATTCGCTCGGCCTGGGCGGCTTTTGGCGGCCTTGGTAAGCCAGAAGTCGCGCAAGCCGCAAACTCAGCGATGAAACCCGGGGAACTTAAATGCAATTAGATACAGAAATTGCCTAATAGTGACATCAAGCGATATTTTGGCCCTTTTTTGCGCCAACAGTGAAATTGGGACTCAACTCGGAGCAGAAAGTGCAACACGGCAACAGCGCTGTCAATGCGCGCTAAGAGTAGGAGGTGGCAGAATGCAGCCAACGTCCCGCCACAGAACACATCAGGAACAAAATATCCGCGGCACGATCGATGGTGGCTGAGAGGTGTTACTCTGAACGTTCAAAGCGTTTGCTGCCAGTGTTGATCGGCAGCAGTGAAGTTTTGCTGTTGAGTCTCGCTTTGGAACTCTTGCTGTTGGCCAGTGTCTAGATCTGAAATGTTGCGCTCTGTTGCTCAGAAGCGTCGATCAGAAGTGTGCGCGCCGTATAACGAATGTACTGTCGAGTGGTTGTGGGTCAAAACCAATGGTACCATTTTTGGGTAGGTGCACCACTCATTTTAGTCTATTTTAGTGGGGATTGGGATGTTCACTGGGGGTACGGGCTTTTGACCCATGGCCGAGTGACGGAGACAAGCCCTTTGGGTCTCAGGGCAAGCTTCCCAACAAGTTGATCAAGAGCGGCACCGTGTGGAAGCCGGGCGCCAAGAACGACGAGCCAGAACCCACCCGTGGTTTTGTCGAGTTTAGAGTTGGAATGCCAGAAAAAGGTTTTGGGTGTTTGGAGCTTGGGACTGACATATCCGATAGCTAGCGGAACGCCAAGAGAAAGCCAACTCAAGACTTCTCTTCCCTTTTTTTAGTGGCAAACACACGGTTTGGGCCTCTTTTGGCCAATCCACTCAGGAACTGAGTGGGGGGAATGCTCCAAATTTGGAGAAACCACCCACTTGGAGAGAATCTGAGGGAAGGATTTCATGGAGGTTTCACTAATTCGGCAGGAAGGGCACCGTGCTTCACTGTTTTTGTGCGATACATCTGGGTGATCAAAATTTCAGAGCCCGACCGCAGGTTTTTGTCCACTTTCATTTACCGGGGTTCCACTTCCCAGCCATCCCCTCAGGCTTTTTGTGTTTTTATTTGGTTTAGTGGTAGTTTCAACTAAACCCCCAAACTGTTAGACTTGTAGCAGGGGAGGCGAGAGCAGCCCAATTTTTGAGCCACCCATATCAGCCACAATCTAAACATTTGTTATTATTAATATAATGATTATGTTTATGTTTGTTTTTGTTTTGGGGGGGGGGAAACCAAAGGGAACCCACCAGTTTTTGGTTGGTTTCCCCACTCGCGGGTTTTCTTTTGGGGCACCAAAGGGAACTTGCCTTCCGGGCTCAAGGAACCACTTCGACGAGAACATGGACTTCAAGTACTTCGATGTGAACAAGGCGGGGAGTCAGAGGTTTGCCTCGAAGCTGGGAAACAGTCATTTTTTTTGTTTTTTTGGTTTCCCCAAAAGAGCAACATCCAAAAGGGCGCCATCCAAAAAATCATCACACCCCCTGGAACGATTTGCGGAACAGAACGGGCCATGGAGCACCATGGCTCTGAACTATGGATATGTCGGCAGAGTGAGGGATCCAACTGAAGGCAGAGGGACCCAAATGGCTGCGGGTCAAAACCAATGGTACCATTTTGGGGTAGGTGCACCAGTCATTTTAGTCTAATTTGGTGGGGATTGGGATGTTCACGGGGGGTATGATTTGGATTTTGACCCATGGCCAAATGAGCCCTCATTCTCAGTTCGGCGCCTCCTTTTCGGGGAAGGATGCCGGGTGTAATTTTGCATTATTTGCAGGGGAGCTATTGAGCGGATACATACAGATTGTCCCAAAGTCATTCAAAAAGCTTGAGTTTTGGGTCGTTGTAGGTTGGAGCATGATTGCCGGACATGGGGGTCAGGGCTATTTCTTCCCGAGCAAACCACAGAGCAGAAGAACATATGTTTTTGGAAAGGGGTTTATGGCAGCGAGAGTAAGTTTTGGGGATCAACTAAATTTGGTATCACGTTTCTATGTTCCAGATCCATTGCCACGGAAGCGAGCCCCTTCTCACTGTTTCAGCTTCGATGCGAAGCGTTCTGCAAGCCTAAGAAGGTGCCGGGGTTGGGTGCCGCCTTGGCATGTTTGGAGGTGTGAAGATGCTGAAACTGTAGCCATTTGGGTAAAAAAGGCCCGAGCTGCTGTTGCATTCCGGTGATCCCAATTGTCCTAACGCCTTCCAAAAGCGCCATGCTCCGTTTGGTCTCCGCCCTGCTCCTTCCTGCCACGGCAGCTGAGAAGTGGGCCGTCATCGCTGCGGGGTCCGCAGGGTTCTACAACTACCGGCACCAGGCCGACGCCTGCCATGCGTATCAGATCATGCTGAAGAGCGGGGTGCCCGCGGAGAACATCATCCTCATGATGCAGGAGACAATGGGTTGTGGTTGATCAGAAGTTGTTTTTTTCCAGCCACTTCTGTGATACTTTGGGGGATTTTCCCCCCTTTTTCTTTGGGGGGAAAATGCCTTTGGGAAGCCCTTTCTGTATCACGGAAGTGGATTCCATTTCTCACCAGGACGACGTGGCCAAGAGTTCTGAGAATCCCTTCCCGGGTCAGCTCTTCAACAAGCCGGGGGACGACTCCGTGGACGTGTACAAGGGCTGCAAGGTGGACTATGCTGGTGACATTGTGACCGCGGAGCTGTTCATGGATGTGCTCACAGGCAACTGGGTGCCAAGCCCTGGTCTAAACCTCAAACTCCTCTTCGTTCCTGTATTTGGGTATGGGTCAAAATTGAACCATCAGGGGACCACAGGGTTTGGTCCCTGCTTCCAATTGCCAGGGTTCCATTTGGGGGTTACCCTAGTTTTGACCCACAGCCATTTGAGGGTCAAGTAGACATTGTTTTTTCTTCTCCACTGCCTTGGTCCTTGGAAGGAAAGGCTCAGAAGGTCAAGGGCAAGGTCCTCAAGAGCACCGAGAAGGACACCGTCTTCGTGAACTTCGTGGATCACGGGGGCCCGGGCATCGTGGCCTTCCCCAACGGCCCGGTGCTGCATGTCAAGGACCTGTCCGAGACCTTGGAGTCCATGCGGAGTCAGCAGATGTTCGGCCAGATGGTCTTCTACATGGAGGTGTCTAAAGGGAACGGACCCCATGGAGGAAACACGTGTTTAACGGGAACCCATGGAGGAAAGCAATCATGTTTTGGCCCCCCTATTCCAAGAAAGATCTGCATATACGCATACATACACTAATAAACCTGTGCGGATTTGTGAAACTCTCCACCCAACTTCGGGCCCTGATTTTCCATGAGAGACCGCGGAGTTCTCTCCGAAGCGCCAGGCCTGCGAGAGCGGGTCCATGTTCCCGGACCTCAGCTCCGACAGCAAGATCCTGGCAGTGACTGCCTCCAACGGCCAGGAGTCCTCCTGGGGCACCTACTGCGGGGATGAGGCCACGGGGAAGTTGGAAATTTCGGGTTCTTGCGTCAGTGGCGCGCTCCTTAAAGGGAAGGCCCAAAGGAACGCACGAGCAATTGGCTGGTGGCCCAATTTTTGTGACACGCCGAAATGGAGCTACCCTGCGACCACTGGTGGGGCTGTAGAACTCCCGTAAACCCAACGAAGAGGCGGTGGTGAAGGGCAAGAACGTGGGCTCCTGCCTGGGTGACCTCTTCTCGGTGAACTGGATGGAGGACGACGACCTGGGCAAGCTGGCCACCGAGACCTTCAAGTCTCAGATCGCCAAGGCGGGCAAACATGATCTTGTCTGATTTTGAAGACACACGGACACACAACCACAAAGAGAAACATGCACAAAATCCACAAGCAACAACCACACACAAACACAAGCCAACAAGCACAAAACCAAAGGCACAGGCACAGGCACAACCACAATAACAAGCAGGTGGCCATGGGTCAAAATCCCGTGCGCCCAGTGGTTACATCCCAATCCCCACTAAAATAAATTCTAAAATGGGTGGTGAATTCACCTACCAACCAAAATGGGATCCGATCAAAACCGGTTTTGACAGCCACAGCCTGGGAGAGATTTTGATGTTGTAGCCGTTCCAGCTTTCAGAGGCACGCACAAACACAAAAACCCACGCAGGTCACCAAGCTCACCAACAAAAGCCACGTCTGCAGCTTCGGCGACAAGTCCTTCGAGGAGGAGGCCATCGGCAAGGTGGAGGCCGAAGCTCTCGGTGCGTCGGAGGTCTCCGTGGCCGCGACTGCGGGCGCCGTGGATGCCCGCGACGTCTATGTTACCCAGGCGAGGGTGAGGGGCACGGGTTGGTTCCCTCCCTCCCACTGAAAAGGTGGGGGTGGGGGAAAAAATAGTAAAAGAGAATTCTAGGAATTCTACTTTTACTAATTTTTTCTCCATCAGCAACACAACAAACAGAAAACAAAATCCAGAACAACAAGCAAACAAAATAAATAATCACAACAGCAACAAAAATATTTAATCACAGCATACAACATTAAATAATTCAAACAAGCATACCAACAAAATAGCAAAAATAAAAACCATCAAAGAACACAAACTCAAAAACACACATGAACAAAAACAAAGCAACATACCAACAAAAAATATCAGAAGAGTATCAAACAAAATAAAAAACAGACAGTCAAAGCACGAAAAAATCAAAAGAGCATACCAAGTCTAAACAACGCACTTTGAAAGAGATAACCAAATTAGGAAAAACAAAATATTTCAATCTTTACAAACCATAAGTATAGTATAATTAAAACATATAAGATTTTACATGTTATTATTATAGTATGATTATAATTTCAGTACAGGATAATAATTTAATTGATTTGTCTTACTTCTTTCATACATCATTTTAAAAATAATATTAATATCTCTCAATGTATTTTGAATATTAAACTTTTTACTTTCAATAAATAATTTAATATTTTTTTAACATCTTCTCCTTCCTTTTGACGATAAACCAACATCCATAATATGCGGTCTATCATTTCATACTTTTTCTCACTGATTTTCAGAAATGCTCTAACATAACTATAAGGTGGTATTTTATACACAGTTAGAAATATTAAGATGTCATCTTCTACATTTCTTTCATTAAACATTTTTATATCTAAATGATTTTCAATTATTTGTTGATGAAACCTCCAATTTCTACAAATTTTACATAAATCTTCTTTACCCAAAGCATAATAAATAATATTATATATTACTCCATTAGGTAAATTTAATTTATACAATTCCATATTTTTCTTTTTTGAAGTGACAACAATCATAGCATTTTTTATTGATATAATTATTGATTTTTTCACCGTTCATTTTCCTCTTATTATATTAAGGCACTATTTCTTTAAGTCATTTTTAAGGCATTAATAAAAATTAAGAAACACACCATAAGTATAGTATAATTATACCATATAATATTTTACATGTTATTATTATTTCAATTAATAATTAAGGATTTAAGATAACAGTCAGGCAATATGTCTTCAAATATGTAATCTACATATTTATCAATATCACCAATGTCTATATATTTGATATTGTCTTTTCCTATTATTGAATAGATATATTCCCAGAAAAACAAATTAACTAATAGACATACTTTATATTTAGTGTTGTAGTAATACCATACATGATATTTAGTTATTCTAAATTCATTCAAGACCTCGTTTATTTTATCTTTGCTTAATAAATGCCAATCAATCTCTTCAAACAAGTCACGAAATTCTTTAGCAAATGATTTATATGGTTTAATGCTTAGTTCTCCTCCAAACCTTTTAATCAAATCTTTATTATTAAAAAAACTCATCTATTTCTTTTTCAAATGACTTTCTAGCAATTTTATGGTAAACACATACAGGAAATCGTTTTTGATATCTCATAAAGAATTTTAATTGTAATTGAAACTTTGTATATCCCTTATCCTTATATTCTTCAACAATTTTTTTTCAAGGTCTCTTGTTATACAACACTTGTTACAATATACATTATACTCACTTATTTTACTACACAGATTAGCAGGTAATAAGTTATACAATGCAAAATTAATATCATTCTTTTTATTATTACAACATTCACACTTACTATAATTAAACAGTGTCATTTTTCCTCTTAATATATTAAGTAAATATTTATTTAAGTCGTTTTCAAAGAATTTATTTTATAATGGCCATAAGCAAGTGAGTTTATACTATCTAACCAATATTTTTTGTTTTCATAACTACTAAGAGCATTTTTTTAGTTGTTATACTAAAAATTATGTGGTTTTTACTTCTAATACTATTAAATGACTTATGTATAACCTCATTAGTTTTTAACACCGTCTCAAACTCTTCATATTTCATTTGACGTCTTACTGTGCCTTTTGCTATGCCCTTACATTTCTTATATTCTTTTTCATCACCAAAAACTGAGTAAGCGTAGCATTTAGGACGAAGGGCTATAAACCCTGTTATTATTTTACTTTTTAATTCATCCTTAAATTTACCTAATACTTTCTTGTTATTCTCATCATAACATTTATGTTCCTTAGGATAATCTGAAAAATATATTTCTTTTTTAATTGTATTCAGGTCTTCATAAATGTCATTGGTTTTAGTATGAAATACAAAACTATCAGTATCAGTATATACCATTTTAATATTATCTCCATATTTAGGTTTCATAAAGTCATAATAAAATTTATACATGTGTTGCTTACTCAAATCTAAAATACTCATCCCAATAAATATAGGTTTGTCTAGTTTCAACTTTGTTTTTTGCTTTTCAACTCCAACCAAATTTTCATTAATGATATGACTATGTTTGAAGTTAGGATTACTTACACACTTCATATATCTAGTTTCATCACTCACAACTTCAAAGTCTAAATGTTTTCGCTTATCCTCCATTGTTTTTCCAAATATGGCATTGTTCATCAATTTATAAACATCTTTCTCAAAATCATTTCTAGCATTCTTCCTCTTCTCTGTGTTAAACTCAATGTAAGGTTTTAAAACTTCTTTTTGTTCAAATTTAATTGCTCTATGAATTTTCTTAAGTTTTAACCCCTGCTTCAAATAAAATTGTAAGGTTCTTATATGGATTACATATTTTTCTTTATCATTTAAATTCAATACTAGTTTATTTGTTTTCTCATCCGTAGGTTTTTTATGATTTAAACATTCATAAATTTCAATTTGTTTATCTGACAGCATGTTGGCTTTAACATTCATAACCTCAGGTGCCATTGGATAGTCATTGTGTAAATCGTGTAATTCTTTAGGATATTCTAAATCCACTTCTAGAATATATCCAATATTATTATTCTTATAATTAATTATGTCTTCTTCTTTTAATGAATCATCCCATTTTAGATTTTTATATGGCAGTTTTTGTATCATGCTTAACCCATACAAATTATTAGCGTCTAAATAGTTAATATAACTACTTTCTTTCTTTTTATCATAATCTTCTCCCATGTATTTATTATTTGCTTCAACTTTTTTAGTAGAAACCATACACATCCCTCCTCTAAGTCCCGCTTCTATCATTTCATACATTTCTCGGTCATATATTAAATCAATCTCTACACCAGTCATTTTAAGCATAGCATCAAAAGCAAAGTTAGGCAATGTATAATAATAAGCAGGGTCCAATCCATAATATTTCATACATACATCTCTAAAATTTTCGAAAATGTCAGTCAATAATAATACATCAGTTTTCAAATATAAATCATGGTATTCACCCATATTCTTAATGTCGAAATGCTTCCATATAATTTTTGCCCTTTCATAGTCGTTAACACTTATACCTTCTTCACTCAACTGACTATAAAAATCATCCTTACTCGGTAATTGCTCATCATCAAATTTATCAAATGAATTCATGTAGTCATAAGGATAAACACCTTTATCAGTCAACAAATCTAGACATTTCTCACTCTTAATCACATCATTTTTACTACTGAACCTAAAATTATCTTTCCAGTTTTCACGCAATAACCATTTACTTTTATCTTCTTCATCTGTATTATCATACTTACTCATTGAAACTAACTTATCTAATGAAGCAGTTAAAAACCCAAAAGTGTCTTTAACACTCAAACTTTCAAAACTGATATTAATAATTTTTCACTGTTCTGAGCGATGACACCTATTTTACTGTTGTTACTTAATTTATCAGCATTTTGAATAATTAAATGACCGTCATAATTTTTCATGTTATGGAAGAATACAGGAATTTTAAAATATCTATTACAAAAATTAAGATTGCAAACATTATGAGCACAACCTCTATACTTACCTGTAAAATGACAATGGTCTCTAACTTTTCTATATTTCTCTGCTTCCTTGGCATTCTTATAGTTCATTCTAAACTTATCTCCACAAATAAAGCAGTTTTTAGCATTTTTAAAATCTTCTTTGTCTTCATCGGTCATGTCTATTTTTTCGTTTTCTCCCATCTTCTCCTTTACTTCTGCCCTAATCTCATTAAGTTTTTGACAAAACACATCAACAGCATCTTTACCACGATACATAAATTCATAATTTGTATTATCAACAGCATTAACCATATTAAGCATAAAACCACATGGTTTATGCTCTTGATAAGAAACAGTGTTTTTATCTTCATCTTCATCAGGTTTTTTCAGTTCCTCTGTCAAACATTCAAAATCAGCATATACAACAAAAGGACATCTTAACTTTTTGAAGTGATGCTTAAAACTAACTTTCTCATAAGGCTTAGGCATTACTATCTGCTGTCCGTCAACTTCCATACATCCACTATCATAATGTTTATTTAATAATTCTTCATTTCCAAATCCATGATTACAATATTTACAAAAATAGGACTTGCCATTATGATTACTTTTTTGATTATTAATAAGTCTGCTCAAACTTTTTATATAGACATAATGACTGAACTCCTCATCATCAACTCTTAACAAATCAAAATGAAAAGAAGCATCTTTATTTTTCAATTTTCTACTAATAACAATTTGTTCATTATCATCAATTTCATAAACATTAACGGATATTGATTTATTATTTTCTTCAAATATATCTATATCATTATTATTAGCAGGAAAACTCACACCATCAAAAATCAAATCACTTTCTATCTTCTTGTAATGAAACATCTTTTCAGGGTGTGCTTTATCACAAATTTTACAATATCCACACTCAATAGAATATTTAAAACACTTGTCATCTTGATTTTTAATATTGATACATGCCTTTTTCTTTTTAATCCATTCTGGAAGTTCGATATATTTACCTGCTCTAGTCGGA